CTACTCCTGGCCCAATCCTACTCTACTCGAATGGAAACTCGTATGCCCGACTCTAAATCCACCATTCGCCCTACCCTACTCTGCGCTGATCCACTCTACTCTATTCTACTCCACTATGCTCTACTCTATCCCACCCTACACGTCGTTCATTTCTAATCCTGCTCATTTCTACTTGTGCTCGTTTTCCTGGCCCCCTGGTGGCCAGTAAGAGGCCCATGATAGAAGAATTAGAAATGAACGGATCTTGGCCCCCAATGAAAGAAGAACTTTCAAATAATGAGAAATGAACAATGTGTAACCTTTTCCTTAGAGGCGGTCGTAGCAATTGAGAACCCTCTGCTCGTACTCCGTCGCCGTCGCCGTCGCCGTTGTCGTCGTCGGCGTCGTCACCATCGTCGTCACCGTCGTCGTCGTCGTCGCTGCCGCCGCCGCCGTCGTCGTCGTTGTCGTCGACGTCGTCGTCACCTTCGTCATCGTCGCCGTCGTCGTCGCCTTTGTCGTCGTCGTCGTCGTCGTCGTCGTCGTCGTCGTCGTCGTCGTCGTCGTCGTCGTCGTCGGCGTCGGCGTCACCGTCATCGTCGTCGCCGTCGTTGTTGCCATCGTCGTCGTCGTCACCGTCGTCGTCGTCGGCGTCACCGTCGTTGTCGTCGTCGTCGTCGTCATCGTCGACGTCGTCGTCGTCGTCGCCAACGTCGTCCTCGTCGTCGTCGTCGTCGTCGTCGTCGGCGTCGTCATCGTCGTCGCTGGCGTCGTCACCGCCGTCGTCATCGTCGTCGTCGTCGCCATCACGTTTGTCGTCGTCGTCGTCGTCGGAGTCGTCACCTTCGCTGGCGTCACCGTCGTCGTCGTCGTCGCCGGCGTCACCGTCGTCGTCATCGTCGTCGTCGCAGTCGTCGTCCTCGTCGTCGTCGTCGCCGTTGGCGTCAGCGTCGTCATCGTCGTCGCTGGCGTCGTCGCCGCCGTCGTCGTCGTCGTCGTCGCCGCCGTCGTCGTCGCCGTCGCCGTCGTCGTCGTCGTCACCTTTGTCGTCGTCGTCGTCGTCGTCGTCGTCGTCGTCGTCGTCACCTTTGTCGTCCTGGTCGTCGTCGTCGTCGTCGTCGTCGTCGTCGTTACCTTGGTCGTCGTCGTCGTGGTCGTCGTGGTCGTCGTCGTCGTCGTCGTCGTCGTCGTCGTCGTCAAGTGCCATTGGCGAAGGGTGGGTGGGCGGAGCTGGTTCGATCCCCCCCTTGCAAGTCTCAAGGGGCGAAGGGGAGGCCCCCCCCCCTGGTTCGAACTGGCCCCCCCTCCATTGAGAGATGTGGGGAGGCCCCTCCCTCTCGGGTTCGACCCCCCCCCCTGCAGCAACTCAGGCCCCCCTCTCCTTTTCGTTCCCCCACCCCCCTTTGCCATTCGTGCCCCCCCCCCTTCCCTTGCAATTCAGAGGGGGGGGCCCTCCCCTCCCCCTGGCGGCTTGAGCCATCCCCCCTTTCCGAGCGTCCACAGAACGCGCTCTTTCGGACTTCTTCTTGGAGCACCGTATCGAAAAAATGAGCCTGGCGAAGGACCCAGCCGTATGCAGCTGTGACTGCCGCAGTTGTGGGTACCATCTTCGGTGGAGCTCCCTGTAGGCGACGAAACGCTGTACTGGGCGGGGGGGACGCGTGCGAACTTTGCCACTGGGGCCTTCGGTGGAGCTCCCTATGGGCCACGAAGCGCTGTGCTGTGTAGGGGAGACGCATGTGAACGGGTCTGGTGGGGTTTTCGGTGGGGCTCCCGATGGGGCTACGAAGCGCTGTGCAGGGCGGGGGGGACGCATGTGAACGGCTCCACTGGGGCCTGCGGTGGAGCTCCCTATGGTGCCACGAAACGCAGTACTGGGTGGGGGAGGCGCATGTGGACTTTGCTACTGGGGCCTTCGGTGGGGCTCCTTCTGGGGCCACGGAACGCTGCTCTGGGCGGGGGAAACGGATGTGGACGGTGCCATTGAGGCCTCCAGTGGAGCTCCCTATGAGGCCTCGAAGCGCTGGACTAGGTGGGGGAGACGCATGTGAACGGGTCCATTGGGGCGCTTGGTGGAACTCCCTATGGGGCCAGGGGGAGACGCATGTGGACATTGCCACTGGGGCCTTCGGGGGAGCTCCCTATGGGCCACGAACCGCTGCTCTGGGTGGGGGAGACGCATGTGGACACCGCCGCTGGGGCCTTAGGTGGAGCGCCCTATGCGGCCACGAAGCGCTGTACTGCGTGGGGGCTACGCATGTGGGCGGCTCCGTTGGCCCTCCCCTCTTGCAGGGAAGGGGGGGTCCGAAGGGCCCCCCTCTCGCTCCTCCTCCTCGCTCCTCCTCGCTCCTCTTCGCTCCTCTTCGCTCCTCCTCGCTCCTCCTCGCTCCTCCTCGCTCCTCCTCGCTCCTCCTCGCTCCTCCTCTTCCTCCTCCTCCTGGCTCCTCCTCCTGGCTCCTCCTCCTCCTCCTCCTCCTCGCTCCTCGCTCCTCGCTCCTCGCTCCTCGCTCCTCGCTCCTCGCTCCTCGCTCCTCCTCCTCCTCCTCCTCCTCCTCCTCCTCCTCCTCTTCCAGCAGCAGCAGCAGCCAGCGGCAGCCTGCTGGACGTCGGGCCGCGGCAGCGGCCGTCTCCTCTGCCGGCCTGCACGGGTCATGGAACAACCATCGCGGCGGGAGGTGTTTTTTTGAAGGGGTCCACAGGGCCGCAAAAATTAAAGACACACACGAATCCCAGGATCTCCCATATTTTCTCGTAGTTTCTTGGCTGTCGGCTTCCCCACTACTTCCTATCTTTTCCTTCTTTCCCGTGGCATCGACATTGATTGCGTCTGTGTGTGTGTGTGTTGCCCCTCCTGATTTTTCACGATTTCCCAACCGTCCTGTGGTGCCCGGGCCTCGTTCTGAAGAGACAGCGCCCCGCGTTCGTTCCTCTTTCCGCCTCCCCCTCGTCCCTCCTCCCTCCTGCCATCATCATCATCATCATCATCATCATCATCATCATCATCATCATCATCATCATCATCATCATCATCATCATCATCATCAGCAGCAGCATCATCATCATCATCATCATCATCATCACCATCATCATCATCATCACTATCATCATCAGCACTTGCACAAGCATCAGTAGCCATCATTCATCACCATCATCAACACCATCATCATCAAACTCATCATCATCATCATCATCATCATCATCATCATCATCATCATCATCACCAGAAGCATCATCATCACCACCATCATCATCAACATAATCATCATCACCATAAGCATCATCATCACCATCATCACCACCATCATCATCAACATCATCATCACCACGGTAACCATCATCATAACCATACACATCATCATCATCACCATCACCATCATCACCACCACCATCATCACCATCGGCATCATCATCACCATCAGCTTTTATCGTCATCGTCATCATCAGCATCTCCAGCATCATCAGCATCATCAACATCAACATCAACATCATCATCAACATCATCATCCTCATCCTCATCCTCATCCTCATCCTCATCCTCATTCTCCTCATCACCATCATCATCATCATCATCATCATCATCATCATCATCATCATCATCATCATCATCATCATCATCATCGTCATCATAGCAATCAACATCATCATCATCATCGTCATCGTCTTCGTCATCGTCATCTTCACCGTCACCGTCATCATCGTCATCATCATCCTCAGCCTCATCATCGGCATCATCAACATCGCTATTTTCAGCCTCTGGGGGCCTCTACCGGGCCTCGGGACCGCCAAAAAACGACTTGGCATGAACCTGTGGAATGGGTCGAGACCCCTGGGGGTCGACCTTATGAACGAACAAACCATGGCGCCAGGGTCTGGGTTCGGCGCCGCCCAGGGGTCGAGGGGAAACGACGTCACATAACGGCCAGAGGCATCGGTTCTCGATCCCTTCTCCCTCTCTCCCCTCCGACAAGGAATCGCTCCACCTCGATCCTCGATCCTTCCTCCTCCTCCTCCTCCGCCTCCACCACCTCCTCCTCTCCCTCCTTTTCCGAAATGCCAGCTGCCAGCTCTCCCCGATCCCCAATCCTTGCTCCTCCTCTGAGGGGGAACGCTAGGGAGGGGGGCGGCTCAGGGGGGGAAGCATCGATCTGGGGTCGGCGGAACATCGTCGATAGATCGGCGATAGGCTCCCGATAGCGCAACCGAGCGCTCCTGGGCGGGGTGGGGCTATCGGCCCAATGTAGGGGAATCAATGGGCGCTGGGGGGTCGATGCATCCTCCCCCGAGCCGATTCCCTCTAGCGCTGCCCCTGTAGGGTGCGGAGAGGCGGCAAAAGGGCCAGCGGAAATCGGCGGTCCGCGGACATCCGAGACTTACGCTCACGTGCTCTCCCAGACATCCGATGCACGGGGCCCGCGGAACCTCCGACCCTCACCCAAGGCCGCCGCTTCCCTCCGAGCAGTCTTCTGGCGGCTCCGAGCCCGGCGTGGGCCCCCGAGAGGCCTGTCGCGACGCGAGCATGTCTGGGAGACCTGCGCTTGCCTCCCGCGCTCGGCGCTGCCCCCTTCCCCTTTTCTGCGCCGCGCGCGCGCCCGTCCCCTGCGGCTGGGGGCGCTCGCTCCTCCTCCTCCTCCTCCTCCTCCTCCTCCTCCTCCTCCTCCTCCTCCTCCTCCACCTCCTCCCTCCTCGCTCCTCCCTCCTCCCTCCTCGCTCCTCGCTCCTCCCTCCTCCCTCCTCCCTCCTCCCTTCTCCCCCTCCTCCCCTCCTCCTCCTCTTTCCTCCTCCTCCTCCTCCTCCCTCCTCCTCCTCCTCCTCCTCCTCCTCCTCGCCTCCTCCTCCTCCTCCTCCTCCTCCTCCTCCTCCTCCTCGCTCCTCCTCCTCCGCCTCCTCCTCGCTCCTTCTCGCTCCTCCTCCTCCTCGCTCCTCCTCGCTCCTCCTCCTCCTCCGCCTCCTCCTCCTCCTCCCTCCTCCTCGCTCCTCCTGGGGGGGGGGGGGGGGCAGCGCTGCCGGCGGCGCAGGAGCTCTCACAGGCCGGCAGTCGGCCCGCAGGCGCGGCTCCGGCGTGTTGCGGGTGCCGGGAAGGGGAAGACACAGCCCCACATCCGAAAGGGGGCCTCGCCTCGCCCCTCCCTCCCCCGCCCCCTCCCTCGCCCCCTCCCTTCCTCGCTTTCCTCTTCCCCCCTTTCCTCGCCCCCTTCATGCCTTCTGCCCCCCTCCCTCCCCTCGCCCCCTTCGCCACCTCCCTCCCTCGCCCCCTTCTCCCCGTCTGCTCCCCGTCGCCCCCTCCGTCCCCGACGGCATTTTGGGGAAACCGAAAGGCACCGATGGTGCTACTTCGGGGGCGGCCAAGAGGGGGGCGTCCAAGAGGGGGGGGGGCGCAACTCGTGGCCGGTGGCATGTGCGCGGCCCAGGGGGGGGGGTCAGGAACGCAATGAAATAAGAAGAGGCGCCATGACATGTGAGGAAATATCCTGGCTCACGCCATGATATCCACCCGCCCCTAGTCATCAGTCCCCTCTTTGCCGCCCCCGACTACTTCCCGGACCTCTCCCAGGGTGCGTTCTGACCAAGAGTTTGAAGCGAATCCAGCGGTGGCGACGAGGGCCTCCCAGGAGGCCCAAAGAGAGGAAGACGAGGGAAGGGTAGGGGTAGGGGTACCTTTTCCTCCTCCTCCGAGGCATGCTTTTTTCAATCCTGGCGTCTTCCTCCGATCTCGGCCTCCGAGGCCAGCCACTGGGCTCCATCCACCAGTGGATACCCGGGACCGACAGCACCTCCCTCTGCGGGGAGCAGCCGGGGCCTCTCGGAGTAGGAGAGATCGGCGGACGTCGGGGGGCCCTGGCGAGTCGGATGGGGCACCATCGGAGTGGACGATTACAGTCGAGGTACAACCAGAAGGAACGCCAAAGAAAGAACAACGGGGCTTTACTGGCCACGGTGGGCCCAGGCCACACGGAAATCCCGCGACATAAATCTAAGAAACGACCCAAATCCCCGAGCCCCTTCCAAACGAAAGCGGTCCCCATTTCAGCGTCTTGGCTGTATGGGGGTAGAAAGAGAGGGTGAAGGATCAGCTGCGTGCAGCTGGTTTTCTGGGAGATGCTCTCCTGGCGACGAGCCCAGCCAGATGGAGCTGCGGGTACCGCGAGGCAACCGAGAAGGAGCAGGGGGTCAGGTGTGAAGGGTGTGTCGACATGGGGCGGGTGCGCCATGCGGACCCTGCTACTCGGGCCTCGGACGGAGCTCCCCATGGGGCAACGGCACATGTGAGGGGTAAGCCGAGCCGGATACGGGTACGCCATGCGGACCCTGCCGCTGGGGCCTTCGTTGGAGCTCCCTTCGGGGCCACGAAGCGTGTGAGGGATGTGCCGAATCGGGTGTGGGCACGCCATGCGCATCCTGCAGCTGGGGCCTTCGGTGGGGCTCCTCATGGGGCCACGAAACGCGTAAGGGGTGTGCTGAAAGAAGGGGGCGAGCACGACGTGCGGACCCTGCCGCTGGGGCCTTCGCTGGAGCTCCCTGTGTAGCCGCGACGCGTGTGAGGGGTGTGTTGAAGCGGATGCGGGCACGCCATCCGGACCCTGCAACTGGGGCCTTCGGTGGTGCTCCTGATGGGGCCACGAAACGTGTGAGGGGTGTTTTGAGTTTTGTATGATTTCACCATCCGCTGGGGCCTTCGGTACAGCTCCTTGTGGGGCCACAACACGTGTGAGGGGTGACCCGGATCGGGTGCGGGTGCGCCATGCGGACCCTGCCGCTGGGGCCTTCGGTGGAGCTCCCTATGGGGCCATGTCACGTGTGAGGGGTGTGCTGAATAGGGCGCGGGTGCGCCATGCGGACCCTGTCACTCAGGCCTTCGGTGGAGCTCCCTATGGGGCCGCGAAGCGCGTGAGTGGTGTGCCAAATCGGATGCAGGTGCGCAGTGCGGACCCTGCCGCTGGGGCTTTCACGGTGGAGCCCCCTGTGGGGCCGCGGAACATGTGAGGGGTGTCAATCGGATGCGGGCACGCCATGCGGACCCTGCAGCTGGGGCCTTCGGTGGAGCTCCCAACGGGGCTACGAAGCGTGTGTGGGGTGTGCTGGGTCGGGCGCGGGCACGCCATGCGGACCTTGCAGCTGGGGCCTTCTGTGGGGAACCCAATGGGGCCACGAAGCGTGTGAGGGGTGTGCCGAATCGGATGCGGGTGCGCCATGCGGACCCTGCTGCAGGGGCCTTCGGAGGAGCTCCCTATGGGGCCACGAAACGTTTGAGCGGTGTGCCGAATCGGCTGCGGGATCGCCATGCGGACCCTGCCGCTGGGGCCTTCGGTGGAGCTCCCTACAAGGCCATGACAAGTGTGAATGGGAGAAGGCAGAGAGAAGGATGGGAGGGAGAGAGGAGGGAGAGGAGGAGGAGAAGAGACGGACGCGCGACACTCTCTTCAAAACGAAGATCAAACACCACCGGATGTTAGGGAACACAAAGTTGACCTGGCGAAGCGCCCAACCATGTGAAGCTGCGGGTACCGCGGGCCAACTGAGAAGACGCAAGGGGAGAGCTAGACGTGTCCCGACATGGGGAGGGTGCGCCGCGCGGTCCCCGCCACTCGGGCCTTGCATGGAGCTCCCTCATGGGGCCACGCCACGTGTGAGGGGTGTGCCGGATCGGATGCGGGCACGCCGTGCGGAATCTGCCGCTGGGGCCTTCGCTGGAGCTCCCCTCGGGGCCACGAAGCGTGTGTGTGGTGTGCCGAATCAGACGCGGGTGCGCCATGCGGACCCTGCCGCTGGGGCCTTCGGTGGGGCCCCCTTCGAGGCTGCGAAACGTGTGCCGAATCTGAGGCATTCGGTGGATCTCCCTTCGTGAAGGGTGTGCCACATCGGGTGCGGGCACGCCATGCGGACCATGCCGGTGGGCCTTCGGTGGGGTGCCCTGTGGGGCCACGAGAACGTGTGAAGGGTGTGCCGAATCGAGCTCGGGCACGCCATGCGGAATCTGCCGCTGGGGCCTTCGGCGGGGCCCCTATGGTTATGGGGCCACGGAACGTGCAGAAGGGGTGCCGGACTGGGCGCGGGCACGCCATGCGGACCCTGCCGCTGGGGCCTTCGGTGGGGCTCCCTGTGGGGCCACGAGAACGTGTGAAGGGTGTGCTGAATCAGAAGCGGGCGCGCCATGCAGACCCTGCCGCCGTGATCTTCGGTGGTGCGGGCACGCCATGTGGACCCTGCCGCTGGGGCCTTCGGTGGAGCTCCTTTCGGTGTGCCGCGAAACATGTGAGGGTGTGCCGAGTCGGGTGCGAGTCCGACATGCGGACCCTGCCGCTGCGGCCTTCGGGGGTGCTCCTGATGGGGCCACGAAGGGTACGCCATGCGGACCCTGCCGCTGGGGCCTTCCGTGGAGCTCCTTATGGGCACGGAATGCCGTGTGAAGGGTGTGCTGAAATGGATGCGGGTACGCCACGCGGACCCTTCCGCTGGGGCCTTCAGTGGGACTCCCTATCGGGCCACGAAAAATGTGAGAGGTGGGCCGGATCAGATGCGGGTGCGCCATGCAGACCCTGCCGCTGGGGCCTTCGGTGGGGCTCCTGTCGGGGCCACGAACCGTGTGAATGGTGTGCTGGATCGGATGCGGATACGCCGTGCAGACCCTGCCGCTGGGCCTTCGGTAGAACTCCCTATGGGGCCACGGAACGCGTGAGGGGGGTGCCGAATCGGCCCTGAGGACCCTGCTGCTGGGGCTTTCGATGGAGCTCGCTTCGGCGCCACGAAACATGTGCCAAATCGGATGCGTGTGCGCCATGCGAACCCTGCCGCTGGGGCCTTCGGTAAGGCCACGCAACGTGTCAGGGGTGTGCCGAATCGGGTGTGGGTGCGCCATGCGGACCCTGCCGCGGGGGTCTTGGGTGGATCTCCTTTCGTGGCCACGGAACATGTGAGGGGTGTGTGCCAAATCGGGTGCGGGCACGCCATGCGGAACCTGCAGCTCCTTCCATAGAGCTCCCTATGGGGCCACGAAACGTCTGAGGGGTGAGCCGAAGCGGGTGCGTGTGCGCCATGCGGGCCCTCGCTGGGGCCTTCGGTGGAGCTCCCTATGAGGCCACGAGAAGTGTGAGGGATGTGCCGAGTCGTCCATTATCGACGGGTGTGCACCTCGGTGGGGCCGAAACCAGCTGTGCCCAACATATGTCGCACCCCCCCTCCGAGATCCGATGTCTTGTTTTGTTCAATGTGCAACCCTGTAATTAACTCACGACCCTTTGCGCAGAACCGGCTTGTCATTCTGAGCCGATGTTTGACGATCCTGAGGCCCAGCGAGGGCCTCTAGAAACTGAAAACGGCGAAAAGCCTCCGCCTTGGCTTTTTTCAACATGCGCTGGCTCTCTGGGCCCCCCTCTCACCTTCTCCTCCTCCTCCTCCTCCTCCTCCTCCTCCTCCTCCTCCTCCTCCTCCTCCCTCCTCCCTCCTCCTCTCTCCTCCTCCTCCTCCTCCTCCTCCTCCTCTCCTCCTCCTCCTCCTCCTCCTCCTCCCTCATCCGACTCGCCTCCGAGCCGGCGGGGGCTCGTGCCCTCGCCTCCTGCGGGTCTGGCCTTCTCCATGTTGACCCCAGCGCCCGCCCTCGGCCGGCGGCCGGCGGCCGCCTCCGGGCTCAGTCCTTTGGAGGAGCCTCTTGCTCAAGGCTCTGGGCCTCTGGGGGCCCTCGCCAGGCCCCAGGACCGTCAAAGACGACCCAGGATGAAGAGCGGGCCCCGGGCACAGGGTCGGGTTCTCTGGGGGCCGCGGGTGGAAAGAAAGCAAGACATCGGATCTCTGGGCTGAGACAACAGCACCCCCAAACTGGCCCCTGGTTCCCTCCTGGGATTCGAACGCGCTAGTTCTCCGATATGCGTCCAGCCGTGTCGACGAGGGGATCCCCTCGGAAGCCAACTACCGCTGTCTCGACTGGTCCTCTTCCGAGTCCTCGTCCGACTCGCCCCCGAACCGGCTGAGGATCGCGTTGATGGCCTCCTGAACGTTCCAGCCCGCCTCCTCCAGCCGCTGCGCCGCTAACTCCCGGCTCACAGCTGTGAACTCGACCACCTGGCCGACTACGGAAACCCTGGGTCAAAACATGCTTTGATCCCGTCAGGGAGCATCAGCGCATCTCTTACTTCCACCACCTTCCGCGGCGCTTCCTCTCGCTTCCGCGTGCGGAGGCGCCCTCGTTTTACTTCCGCAAGCCCTCCGCTGAGGAAGAGGGAAGAGATGTCAACCTCTCGATCGAGATTGTGTTTTATCCTCTGGCGCGTGAGGGTCGTTACCGCCCCCCCCTCCCCCCCAAGATAACGGTAGCGATCATGCGCATCGGGAGGACCAGGACCCTTTCTGGCACATGTTGGTGCTCGCGTGCACTATGCCGATCGAAGCGCACCCCTGCCCCGACGAGCCCCCTCCCGCTCAAGCGGTATCGTCCCTCAGGGCTCCAACCCTCCGCCCCTGCACCTGCAGGGTAACGACCGTTACTGGAAATAATCCGCCACCGCGCTTGCAGCGGTTGCTGTGCCCTTGTCCTAAAGCAGTAGTGGAGACCTCCCAACGCATCGAGTCCAAGATGCCTTCATTTTTGTGTCCGAGGCCCCGCGTCTTCGGGGCCTTCCAACTAGAAGCTGGTCCCAAACACAGAGCCTGAGGAAGGGGGCTTCCATGGACCCTCCTCCTCCTCCTCCTCCTCCTCCTCCTCCTCCTCCTCCTCCTCCTCCTCCCCCTCCTCCTCCCCCTCCTCCCCATCCCTTCCGAGCGCGGTGGCGGAACCGCGCGGCAGCGCATATGGCCAAAGCGTCCCACCTGCTGCACCAGGTCCTCCTGGGAGCTGGTCCTCCCCAGGGCGGGCTGGGCCGACGCCGCGGCCCCGCGCCGCAGCGACGCGGCGGAGGGCGGCAGCGACTCCCCCTCCCGCACGCGCCGCAGGGCCTCCTCTGGCGGGATGCCCGCCTGTGTGGGCGGCGGGGGGGCGTGCGGCAGGGGTCGTGCCGCGGCGACTTCTCTTCGCGGGCAGTAACCAGCTGGTGCCCAGCCAGCCCCCAACCAGTGCCAAGGGCAATTTTTCTGTGTCTTCGGCCTCTGGAGGCCCTCGCCGGGCCTCGGGACCGTCAAAAACGACTCGGGACGAGGAACCGGCACCGGGGAAGAGCTCCAGACCACTGGGGGTCGACGGTGTGGAGAAATCATGACGCCCAGGGTGTGGGTAGGTAGAATGCCTTCTCAGGCGGCGGGGCTTCTTAGAAGCCCTCGGGCCTTCTGATAGGTTTTCTGTTCCTTCGGAGGATGCTCCAGAAACTTCTCAGAAGGCCCGCCCCTTCTCACTTCCCCCCTCGCCGACGAGACTTCGGCGTTGGTTCCTGACACTGCGGGGATCGCTCAACCTTGATCGATCGGCCGTTGCCGAAATGTCAAATCTTTCAATCCACCGATTCTGGCCGGCGGCGTTTAGCGTGGAACGCCGGCGGCGGGGTCGTCGTCGGTCGACACGACGCGAACCGACCGTGTCGAAGAGAAACCCCTCAACGGGCGGGAAACGTCCGAACACCGCGACTCTCGAACCCGGCCCCGCGGTAGGATGATCAGGATCGATATCGCTACACGCTACCCTTCCCTCGCCTTCGCTTTTTTTGTCCCCCTCGGAGGCCCTCGTCGCCACCGCTGGATTCGCCTCGACGTTCTGGTCAGAACGCATCCCTGTGGAGGTCTGGGAAGTAGCGGTAGGGGTAGCGATAGGGGGGATAGGCATAGGGGGGAATGCATCAACCCCCAATCGCCCATTGATCGCGGATAAGGATCTGATAGTCCCACCCGCCCAGGAGCGTGCGGATTTGTTGTCGGAGTCCTCCTGCCGATCTATCGGCGACGTATCGCCGATTCCAGGTCGATGTTCCCCCCCGATCTGAGTCCACCCCATCGTTGCCCGTCACTGGAGAGGCTTGGGGGGGGGAGCGTGGCGAGGCTCGAAAGGAAATCGGGACTTCACGAACATCGGGACTCACCTGCACGCCCTGTCGGCCTCGCGCTGCTGGGAATGGCGGCGGAAGGGGAGGGGGAAGGAAATGCCGTGCAAGTAAACCAATCATACTTTACATCATAACGAAGCAGCCTTCAAAGCAAGTGGTCTCCCCCACCTCCTGTCGGCACCAGCAGAAAGAACGACGGGAACTTCTTGACAATTTTCGGCCCCTGCGGGCCCTCACCAGGCCCCTGGACTGTCAAAAAACGACTCGGGGTGAAATACCCCGAGAAGGCACCCCAAAACCAGCAAAGGTGAACAGGCGAGTCGAAGAGCAGGAGGTCGGCCAGGCGAAAACGTGCAGTCCGCTGGATTTCCTGGAACGCTGACAGGCGGGACAAAGGGTGAAAGCACGGACATGTGCATTGCAGTGCTCCTTTTACAATGGATCGTGGCCGTTTGGAGGAGGAGGAGGAGGAGGAGGAGGAGGAGGAGGGGGAGGAGGGGGAGGAGGAGGGGAGGAGGAGGGGGAGGAGGAGAGGGAGGAGGGGAGGAGGAGAGGAGGAGGAGGAGGAGGAGGAGGAGGAGGAGGAGGAGGAGGAGGAGGAGGAGGAGGAGGGAGGGGGAGGAGGAGGAGGAGGAGGAGGAGGAGGAGGAGGAGGAGGAGGAGGAGGAGGAGGAGGAGGAGGAGGAGGAGGAGGAGGAGGAGGAGGAGGAGGAGGAGGAGGAGGAGGAGGAGGAGGAGGAGGAGGGGAGGAGGAGGAGGAGGAGAGGAGGAGGAGGAGGAGGAGGAGGACCACCAATGTAGCCGGCACCGAAGCGAGAAGGCGATCCCCGAGCCAATGGCGAGAGCGTCTCAGGCGAAACGGCTGCCGGACCGGGCGATCTATAAGAGCTCCTCTTGTCCCCCTCGGAGCCCTCTTGCGCAACGCTATCTCTCGCCATCGCTTGGACGTCCATTCCCTTTGTTTTTTTCGGTTTCGTGAGTGGTTTTTTCACCAAATGATCAAGGATGCTCCTCGATGGTCCTCGCCGAAGGAAAAAAGCACACGTCCGAGCGATGCCAAGATCTACAGGGAGACTCGCGTTCCCAGCAATTTCCAGCCTCCAGGGGCTCTCACCGGCACCGTCAGAGAACGACTCCGGATGAGAAAGCGGCCCCAGGGAAGGGTCTCTGGAGTCTATGGAGGCCTCTCGAATGGAGTTCGAGTGTAGACGGGGCTGGAGGATCGCACCGCATCGCCAGGGCATCGCCAAAACAACGGCGATGCGTCGGCGACGTCGGCGGTGTGGTGCCCTCGGCGTGGAGAAAGTCGGGCCTCCGATCGTGACTGGATGGGCTGGTGGGGATACTTTTTTGGGTCGCGGCCACCAGCGAGCGCGCAGGCGGCGAGAGAAGTTGTCCGGGCCGGCGGGCAAACCTAATTAGCTACTGAGCGCAGCACGAGCCGGCCGGGCCAGCTCACAAACGCGGCAGCTGGGGCAGCGGCTGCGGGGGGCTGGCTGGCTGAACTGGACGCCCAGGGAAGCTCGAGCAACGTGCAGCCCTGCGGCAAAATGCCAGGGAATTCTGTGTTACGCGCTGTGGCGAGGCTGGTGGGGATACGCGAAGCGTCAAGCATTTCGCACCCAATTTCAAATTATGTTGGTGTCGGGGCCTGGAGGCAAATCCTGCAAGCCGAAACCAATGAAAAACGCAACATCGTAGTCTTGACCAGAACTTCAGGCCCAAGCGGGCCGCTTCGCGTGGAAGGTTCTCCAAAAAGTGGGTCGCGGACCTTCCCTGGGAGGCCCCCAATCTCTTTGTCTTCGTCGTCGTCCTCCTCCTCCTCCTCCTCCTCCCAAAACCTAAACACGCCCAGATCTCCGACGGTCTACTTTTTCAATGCGGGCGCTCTTCTTGATTTCGGCTTCCAGGGCCCGTCACTGGGCCCCGGGACCAAAACATTTACGCGGGGCGTCACACTGTTCCCAAGGAGCGGGCCGAAAGCTCTTGGAACCGCGGCCTGGAACAATACATATTGGAGGATGTTGTGTGTGTACCACAAATCAAAACTCCCGTTCAACCGCAGAGCGGCTGGCCAGTAACGCCTATCCTACTACTTTTTTGTTTTTGGGGGGGGGGCTGAGATCGGACGTTGTGAACATTAGACTGTTGAAGTGCACACCCATTTGAAGCTGCGGGCACCGCGAGGCAGCTGGGAAGAGGCAAGGGGAGGGAAGAGCGATGGGGTGTGCCCACACGGGGCGGGTGCGCAGTGCGGACCCTGCCGCTCGGGCCTCGGATGGAGCCCCCTGTGGGGCCACGGCACGTCTGGGGGGCGAGCCGAACCGGAAGCGGGGTGCGCCACTGCCGCTGGGGCCTTCGGAGGAGCCTCCTGTGGGGCCACGGCACATCGGAGGGGCGGGCCGAGTCAGAAGCGGGTGCGCCTCTGCCACTCGGGCCTCGGATGCAGCCCCCCCCTTGGGGCCACGAAGCGTGTGAGGGGTGTGCCGAATCGGGTGCGGATGCGCCGTGCAGCTCTGGAGGCAGACTCTGCCGCTGGGACCTGCGGTGGAGCTCCCTTCGGGCCCACGTAACCTGTGAGGGATGTGCCGAATCGGTTGCGGGTACGCCATGCGGATCCTGCCGCTAGGGCCTTCGGCGGAGCTCCCTCCGGGGCCGCGGAACGTGTGAGGGGTGTGCCGGCAAGTGTGCGGGTGCGCCGTGCGGACCTTGCCGCTGGGGTCTTCGGCGGAGCTCCCTTCGGGGCCACGAAGCGTGTGAGGGGTTTGCCGAATTGGGTGCGGGTACGCAATGCGGACCTTGCCGCTGGGACCTTCGGTGGAGCTCCCATCGGGCACACGTAACGTGTGAAGGATGCGCTCATCGGGTACGGGTACGCCATGCGGACCCTGCCGCTGGGGCCTTCGGCGGAGCTCCCGATGGGGCCGCGGAACGCGTGAGGGGCGTGCAGAATCGAAAGCGGGTATGCCATGCGGATCCTGCCGCTGGGGCCTTCGGTGGAGCGTCCTTCGGGGCCGCGGAACGTGTGAGGGGTGTGCAGAATCGGGTGCGGGTGCGCCATGCGGACCCTGCCGCTGGGGCCTTCGGTGGAGCTCCCTATGGGCCCACGAGACGTATGAGGGATGTGTTGAATCGGGTGCGGGTGCGCCATGCGGACCTTGCCGCTGGGGCCTTCGGTGGAGCTCCCTCTGGGGCCACGAACCGTGTGAGGAGTGTGCCGAATCAGTTGCGGGTATGCCATGCGGACCCTGCCGCTGGGGCTTTCGGCGGAGCTCCCTCTTGGGCCGCGAAGCGTGTGAGGGGTGTGCCGAATCGGGTGCGGATGCGCCGTGCGGACTCTGCCGCTGGGGCCTCCGGTGGAACTCCCTATGGGCCTATGTACATGTGAGGGGTTTGCCGAATTGGGTGCGGGTGCGCCATGCGGACCCTGCCGCTGGGGCCTTGGATCGAGCCCCCTGTGGGGCCACGAAACGTGTGAGGGGTGTGCCGAATCGAGTGAGGATACGCCGTGCAGGGTAAAGCCCCCTATGGGGCGACGAAGCGTGTAAAGGGTGTCGAATCGATGCGGGTACGCTATGCCGACCAACCCGCTGGGGCCTTCGGTGGAGCTCCCGATGAGGCCACGAAGCGTGTGAGGGGCGTGTTCAGTCGGTTGCGGGTGCGCCATGCGGACCCTGCCGCTGGGGCCTTCGGTGGAGCCCCCTGTGGGGCCACGAAACGTTTGAGGGGTGATTGAATCGGTTTCGGGTATGCCATGCGGACCGTGCCGCTGGGGCCTTCGGTGTTTGGGTCCCTTTGGAGCCACGAAACATGTGAGAGGTGGGCCGAATCGGGTGCGGGTACGCATGATGGTGATGAGATGAGGGCATGTGCAGGGCAGAAGCAGGCGTGGGAGGAGTGAGGAGGGGGATGAGGAGGAGAGGAGAAGAACGCGGGGACTGTCCTTTCAAAGCGAAGACCCGACACCACAGGATGGCTGGGAAACATGCAGCACCGCGTGAACACACCACGACAGGAGTCAAGGGGCTCAAGGACACACAAATAAATACACATCAATAACAGGATTCCCCATATTTTCCAATATTTTCTGGGTTTTTGTCTTCCCCCCTACCTCCCATGTTTTCCTATACTTTCTCGGGAACCGACGATTCATTGTGTCTGTGTGTTTTCTCCCCTCCTGAAGGAGCCCTGGACCCTGTCTTTCTGCCGCACCTGTCAGCCCCGGTCGATCTGCCATGGCCTCAGGGCTCGAAACTGGGCGCAGACCCCTGGTGCGAGCACGCTGCAGTGGAGGAGGAGGACGAGGAGGAGGGAGGAGGAGGAGGAGGAGGAGGAGGAGGAGGAGGAGGAGGAGGAGGAGGAGGAGGAGGAGGAGGAGAGGAGGAGGGGAGGAGGAGGAGGAGGAGGGAGGAGGAGGAGGAGGAGGAGGAGGAGGAGGAGGAGGAGGGAGGAGGAGGAGGAGAGGAGGAGGAGGAGGAGGAGGAGGAGGAGGAGGAGGAGGACGAGGTGCTCTGTGAGGGGGGGGGGGGGGGGCGCCTCGCCTGGACGAAGCGCTGGGCCTCGAAGGCCTCGAGCGTGCGGCGCTGCACGAGGCTCACCTGCCGCTCGAGGCGCGGCGGTCCCGGCGGCCTCGCGGCGGCATCGCCGGCGGTGTCGGCGGCGCCCTCGTGCGCGCGGGGCAGCTGCTCGCGGCCCTCGGGGCGACGCGAAGCGAAGCGCGCTCTGGGCGCCCGACAACAATGCCCAACAACAAATGCCCAACAACAAATGTTGTCCCAAACCAACAGCGGCCGCTGTTGAGCAGGCGGCCTTCTGTCTCGAATGGACACAGGCCGCGGCGGCGCGGACGGCGAGTCCGGTTCAAAACGAACAAGAACTGCTGTTGGGCATTGTGCCCATTCTTTCCGTACCCATTTCGGGCGTCCAGACGCGCATGTCCGCCAGAGCGGGACCCTTGAGGGTCGGCGCGGGGGGGCCGGGGCCCTAGAAGCGAGGCGAAACACTGCACGTACGTCTGAGCACCCCAAATGCCATATTCTGAAGGGTCGGCCCTCAGGGGCGGCTGCTCGCGGCACTCAGGGGCCCAGGGACAACCTCGCGACGGAAGGACTTTCCTGAGATCTGGGCATGGCAGTTGTTTCACAATGGGCGTCTTTGCACAGCCTGTGGGGCCATATCGCAGGTCGATCCAGCTCGAAAAGTGCTGCAGAAAGAAAGGGTCTATGGCTCTGGTCGTTTGCAGTGCCTTCGCGACGTCGTGCCTCAAGGTTGGTTGCAGCCTTCGGCCTCCAGAGGCTCTTGCTTGGGGCCACAGGGCCGCGAATGCAGTGACTTGGGGCAGCTTCTCGGAACCCTGGGGCGGGGGCAGGAGAGCCCACGATCGACTCGATAATGAAGAGGCCCAGGGAAACACGAATAGATAATTACACACAAATCCCAAGATTCCCAATATCTCATCATATTTTCTTGATTTTCGTCTTTCCCTCCCCACACTTCCCATATTTTCCCATACTTACCTGGGAAAGAGCGTGTTCTACCGCTGCTGGCGGAAAACCGGGGGGGGTCACTACCGGTTCGAACCTCTCCCGCCCCACCCCCCTCCGGAAAACTGGGGGGGGGTCACTACCGGTTCGAACCCCTTCCCCCCCCCCCCCCACTTCATTATGAAAAGGGGGGGGGTCACTACCGTTCGAACCCCCCCCCCCCTCGAACTCGAAAACCGGGGGGGGTCACTACCGGTTCGAACCCCCCCCCCCCCCCCTCGAAAACCGAGGGGGGGTGCGGACAGTGGTGGGGACGGTGGTGGTGGGGACAGTGGTGAGGGGACAGCGGGACAGTGGTGGGGACAGTGGGACAGTGGTGGGGACGGTAGTGGTGGGGACAATGGTGAGGGACAATGGTGGGAACAGTGGGGACAGTGGACAGTGGTGGGGACGGTGGTGGTGGGGACAGTGGTGTGGGGACAGTGGGAATGTGGTGGAAACAGTGGGACAGTGGAGGGTACAGTGGTGGTGGGGACAGTGGTGAAGGCGGTGGCGAGGACGGCGGTGGGACAATGGGACAGGGACAGTTACAGTGGGGACAGTGGTAGGGACAGTGGGGACAGTGGTGGGAACAGTGGGACAGCTCAGTGGTTCGAACCGGTAGTGACCCCCCCCTCCGGTTTTCGAGGGGGGAGGGGGGGGGGGGTTCGAACCGGTAGTGACCCCCCCCGATTTTCGAGTTCGAAGGGGGGGGGGAGGGGTTAGGGAAGGGGGGGGGTTTTGCCGGGACAGGGGGGAGCATTTTCGGGGGGGGGGGGGGAACCCCGGGTTCTGGAGGAAAAGGGCGGCAATTTTCCACAGTAAAGCGGCAGTGGATCACGCTCTCTCTTACCTGGGGATCGACGATTCATTGTGTCTGCGTGTTCCTTCTCCTCCTGAGAGAAGTCGCACTGGCGATCGACATGAATCGGATCGGCGAAAATCGGCAACCTAGCCGGGAGAAGCCGAGCCGGCTAACACTGGCAGGCCGGGGAGGCCTCCATCGAGACACCGAACTTCCAAATCGGGATCCGAGGTCGGATCGGATCGAACTCGAAATCGATCGAGCTCGAGCTCGAAGCGAGTCGGAGGAATCGAATGTCGAGCCTCGGGGCTCCCAGGCGTTTTGGCTCGTCGCCGTCGTCGTCGTCGTCATCGTGGCCCCCTGGGGCCTCCGGGCATATTGGGCCCGGATCCCCCCCGGGGCCCATCCTGCAAAGCTTCATTCCAGATGGACTTCTCCGGCCCCAGGTCCGGAACGGGCATCCAGAGGCATGCAACTACCAAACACGTGCAGAGGCATCCAGCGTCTCGCAGCCCTGAGCTGTGACGGCGCGCACAAGGAGGGTAGGGGGAGGGGGAAGGCTTCTTAGGTGGAGGCCGCTTCTTGGACGGCGCCGACATCTACAGACAAGGCCCGCGCCTTCTGAGAAGCAGGGGTGCTTCTGAGAAGCCCTCCCCCCTTTCCCTACCCCTCTCGGCGCGTGGCCGATAAGCTGCTCAAGGTTCGACGATCGGGATTCGGGCCTTGAGAATGCATGCTTTCCAAGGCTTTACACGGGAAGCGTATATCAAGGACGGGGGGTAAGGGCGCAAGACCCTTGGAGGCCAAAGTGGGGATTTCCGGGGCGACTGGCGACCAGTGCAAACGGCAAAGGACGGGCCGCAGAGGCGAGGCCAGAAGGGTACTGTAGAACAGGCGCGCGTCCTCCTCCTCCTCCTCCTCCTCCTCCTCCTCCTCCTCCTCCTCCTCCTCCTCCTCCTCCGCATCCAGAGGGGTGCGTCGCTTCCTCCGCATCCAGAGGAGGAGGAGGAGGAGGAGGAGGAGGAGGTGGAGGAGGTGGAGGAGGAGGGAGATGGAGATGGAGATGGAGATGGAGATGGAGATGGAGATGGAGATGGAGATGGAGATGGAGATGGAGATGGAGATGGAGGAGGAGGAGGAGGAGGAGGAGGAGGAGGAGGAGGAGGAGGAGGAGGAGGAGGAGGAGGAGGAGGAGGAGGAGGAGGAGGAGGAGGAGGGGGGTCGCCTAAGCCCTTTGGAGAAACCCTCCAGTTTGCAGTGTTTCCCTCGACCCTCGAGGCGCCCTGGGATGAAGGGGCCCAGGGACACGCGCCACACGCAGATCCCAAGACCTACTTTATTTCTTCATGTTCTCTGGATTTCCGTCCTTCCCCCCCACACACACACTTCATATATTTACCCATATTTTCCGGTCTCCCTCCTGATGAGAGCCGGGCGTTGCGTTTTCTTGGCGCTTGGCGTTTTTGTTGCCTGGTTTCGGGCCCCAGGGTCCCCACAGGTCGATCCGGTGGGAGAAAACAGCAGCAGAAAGTTGGTGCATAAAGATCGGATGTTGATTTCTTATGTGATCTGGCATTCTTCCGCTCAGTCGAGGCTCGGACTTTGAGGATCGAAACTTCTGATCGTTTGGGTGTCTTCGCGCATGCACGGCTGGATCCGCCTCGGAATTTTGGTCCGGGGGCGCGCCAGGACAGGCCAGGGGATCGATTTTGACCTGGGGGAGAAGGGGGTGCCAGGACCCCATCGCGATGTAAACAAACACAACGACTTAACGTTAGCGCCTCCCTCTTTTCACCGACACCCTCCACGACAGCCCCAAGAGGCCTTCCAGGGCTCCCAAAAGGCCCCCAAGAGAGCTCCAAGAAGGCTGCAGAGCTCCCCTCGCCCCCACGCCGCCCCCAGGGATGGCCCAAAGAGGCTTTTCAAGGCCCCCCCCTTGCTCCCAGAGATCTCTCTGTTCAACCTGGTTGGTCGCTTTGTTTCACTAGATGTGTCTCTTCGTCCCTTTTCCCGTCAGCTCTCAAAGTCAGAGTCTCTGAATGGGCTGGTGGGGATACTTTTTGTCCCAACCGCAGGCGAGGGCGCCAGCGGCGAGTAAGGTCCGAGCGGGCCGCGCAAGAGCCTAGTTGTCCCCACCAGCGGGACTACGCTGGTGGGGATACTTTTTCGGTCGCGGTCGCGAGACGACGGTCAGGCGGCGAAAGCAAAACCCAGGACGCGAACTAGGCGAATTAGCTAAGACAGGCGCAGGCCGGCCGGCCCACTCAGACAGCTGCGGGCTGACGGGTGAACCTCAACTGCACGGCGCACTGCAAGCTCGGGCAAGTGCACAGGACAAAATGTCACGGAATTCAAGCGGCCAAGGCACAACCCGCACAGAGGGGACGCGGTCCACGATGGGCAAGTCCTTCGTGCTTGGTGAAGACGTGATGGCCATTGGAGTGAGTCGCCAATGTGGCGCCAGGCTCCGAGCGGACGACCTGAGCTAGCCAGACAGGCTGAGCAGTCGTGAGCCGTGGTGCAACGCACCTGGGGAGGCTGAAGGTGGACCTGTAGGACTGCACCTGCTGCGGAAGGCTGAACCACTCTGCACCATGGCCAGCCCCAGTCAGACCACGTCACAGTGCCAGGGGGTAACCGAGCGACTGTGAGCCAGCGCGTGCCGGCACGGCAAGGCCACTGAGTGGGGGGGGAACCCGCTGGCGTGGTGAGCATCGCCAGCGAGGAAAGAAAGATGGAGTGCACTGGAAGTGGTGGTGCCGTGACGGCGAACCGGACCAGAGCGGGTGGGTCCCCAAGAGCACAGGTTGAGCTGTACCGGCGCCGGTACGGGCGGGGTGTGCTGTTGTCTCAGGGGTCCGTAGCCATTTTGGCTCAAGCCTCACTTGGACCCCGTCTGGGGTCCAAAGGGGGTGCGAGCCCCGTTGCCTGTCTGGCTCAGTGGCGCCGCCCCCCCGGCCCGCGCGTAGGGTAATCCGCGCGCGAGGCCGCATGCCGGGCTGCTGGGATGCCTGGGCTGGGGGGCGGCGGGGGGCAGCAGAGGCAGCAGCGGCAGCAGCAGAAGCAGCAGAAGCAGGGGCAGGAACGCAAGGCTCCGGAGGGCCCGCGGCTGCCTCTGTGGGGCTGCTCCTGCGGGGTTGCCGACAATTGGGCTTGTCGGACTGCCTGCCGTGCATGTGGCCGCCGTGGCCCGCGCGCTGCCGTAGGGAACACGCCGCCCCCCGGAGCGGCGCGCCCTCCTCCGGCGGCTGCTGCTGGGCGGACCTGGGCGCAGGTGGCGGGTGCCGCGGGGGCACCCCCAGGCGCGGCTCAGGCGGCGGCGGCAGGGCCGCAGTCGGCGGAAGCCCCTCGCGACCCCGCTCCGGCAGCGGCGCCGACGGCTGCGGAGCGCCTCGCAGGCCTACGGGCCCGCATCGCCGCCTTCCAGCCGTTCCCGGAGTGCGCCGCCACCGTGGTGCAGTTGGAGGCGGAGGCGGCAGCCATTGTGGAAGCAGAGCGGGCTGCCCGGCCGCTCGAGCGCAGGCTGCAGTCGGCGGTGGACTCCCTGCGCACGCGGTCCGCGGCGGCCCAGAAGGCGCGGCAGGCCGCCCTGGACGCGCAGGAGGTGGCCGATCAGGCTGTCCAGGCTGCCGCGGCGATGGAGGCCCAGGCGGTGCACGCCGAGGCCGAGGAGGCGGCCGCCCAGCAGGCGCTGGTGGCGGTGCAGGCCGAGGCCGCCGCTGGAGGAGCCGCTGCGCCCGCAGGCGGGCCCAGCGCGCCTGGCCGGGGGAGGGCTCGATGCGGCCTTCGAGGCGATGGCGGCCGCGGCGTCCCCCGCCGCACAGGCCGCGGTGGTCGCTCTGCTGGCGCAGCTTCGCGGGGTGTTGGCGGCGCCGCCAGGTGGCGCAGGGCTTGTTGGGCCTGCCGGTGGTGCGGTGGCGGCGGCAGGCCCAGGCGGCGAATCAGGGCTGCACGGAGGCGCGGCGGCTGCGGCGCCGGCCGATGCGCGCATGCCTGCCGCCGATGCTCCTGGGGAGGCCGGACCTCCGCCGGCTCCGCTCGGCAGCGGCAGGCGGCGCGCGGCCTCCGCAGGCGCGAGGGCTGCGCGATGGTACTCCCCGCTCCGGGCGGGGTCCGAAGACGGCGACCGCTCCCGTTCCACGGACCGCGGAGGCTCCCCAGAGGCCCGCATTCCGCTCTTCGCCCAGCCCGCGCACCTGCCGGCCGGGCAGCGGACTCTGCCCTTGCGGCGATGCGCGCGCCTTGCCGCAGCGGCACCTGGCGGTGCATAATGGTGCCTCGCTCGCGCAGCCGTCGGCGTCGGGCACCCTGCAGCAGCCAGGGCGTGCAGGTGAGTGGTGCCGTGGAGGACCCGAATAGCTCAAGTGCAAGCTGCGGATGTGCCGCGGGGCTGCTGCTGGCCGCCGCCCGGGCCGCCACCCGCATGAGGTTGCCGGGCGAGGCTCCCGGCAACCGCCCGGGCCGCGATCGCACGAGTGCGAGCTGCGGATGCGTCGCGGGGCTGCTGGCGCTGCTCCGGCCCCTCCGGGATCCCAGGCTGCTGAGCCCTTGGAGGGGGGTCAGGGTCGGGGAGGCGCGGCGCCCTGGCCCAGGCCGCACGGTCAAGGTGCTCGTGGCCAATGTGACTCGCTGGAGCGCGAGCTGGCGCGGCGCGCTGGCAGCGCAGGCCGTCGTGTGGTGCATGCAGGAGGCCCGCATTCCGAAGCTGGAGGCGGCGGCGGCGGCCGCTGCAGCGCGTGCCCGCGGGATGCGGCTGCACCTGGGCCCAGAGCAGGATGGCGAGCACCTCCTGGCTGCCGCACACGCGCCCGGCAGTTGTTCAGCCCGGGCCGAGGCCATGTCGGGCCTCTCTGGCCGGCACCCGGGCCGCCTCCAGCACCTGGCACTTCACCTGGGAGGGAATCGTGCCGTCCACCTCCTCAACGTCTATGGGTACGCTGGAGGGCGGACCGACCGGGAGCGCAACGCCGACCTGATCCTGGAGGGCCTCGAGTGGCTCCGGGGCCTAGGCGGGGCGCCCGCGCTGCTGGTAGGCGACCTGAATTGCAACGTCGCCGAGTCGGGCCTGGAGGGCCTGCTGGGCATGGCCGGGTGGCGGGACCTCCTGGCGGCGGCTGGCCCTACGTGCATCCCCTCCGATGGGGCCCCATCGAGGCTGGACTACGTGCTGGCGAATCCGGAGGCGTTGGGGCTCGTCGAGCGGGTCGGCATCCAGTGGGACCTTGGGTTCGCCACCCACGCGGCCCTCTGGGTGGAGTTGCGCGCGTCGGCCCCGGAGCGAGCGCTCATGAGGCGCCCCGTGCAGCGTCTCGACGGCGATGCCATTGAGGGCTGGGGGGCGCGGGAGGCCCGGGAGGCCGCCGCCACGGTGGTCGCTGGCTTCGGCACGCCCTTCCACGGCGCGCTGGGGCGGCACGACGTCGAGGCGGCATGGCAGTCGCTCCGCTCGGCCATGGCGGCATGGTTGGCGAGTCGGAGCCCCAGCAGCTCCGCCCCGGCCCCATGCGGCTGCCACGGTGGCCGCCGATCGGCCGCCGACGAGAGGGGGGGGGGGCGACGCCGCGGATATGCAGGCGGACGCTGCCCTCCTCCGCCTTCGCCGCCTGCGCGGCCTCCGTCACGCGCAGCGGAGGGCCCCATCGGCGCGCGAGGTCGCGATGTCCACGCTGATGGCGCTGCGGCAGGCCGACGCCGACCATGCGGTCTGGCGGGCGGCGCTGGCAGACCTGCGACCGGACGTGGAGCTCCCGGCCACCTTGCTGGAGCATGCGGAGGCCGAATGGCGTGCCGCCCAGGCGGCAGCGCGATCCCAGCGCAGGCAGGAATGGCGCCGCTGGGCCCAAGAGAGTTTGGCCAACGCGCAGGGCCGTCTCTATCGATGGATCCGAGGCGGGTCGATTCTCGAGGCAGATTTGGTGCCCGACCCGGCGGCTGGCGCGGCGGCCGCAGCAGCCGGAAGCCGGAGCTGGCTCCTGGCGCTCCGTGGCGGCCCAGCGGCGCGCCTCCGCCACTTCGCAGGGCCGTGGCGCGCACTCTGGCAGCGGCAGTCGGCGCCGCCGCTGGGCGAGGAGTGGCTTCAGGCTTTGGATGGCCTCCCAGCGTTCCCCGAGCGGGTGCCCTGGACGGCGGAGACGGTGTCCTCGCTGCTTCGCCGCATGCCTCGGCGGAAGAAGCCGGGTCTAGACGGGTGGACCGTGAAGGAGCTTCGATTGCTGCCTCCGGAGCTGCACGGGTGGATCGCCGAGCTGTTCGAGGAGATCGAGGCCTGCGGGAGCTGGCCTAGCGAGCTGGTGGAGCCGGAGGGCCTCCTGCTCCCGAAGCCCGGGGGTGGCGCAGACCCCATGGACAGGCGCCCGATATGGCTCCTGCCCATCTTGCACCGCCTGTGGGCGGCAGGCAGGGCCCGCCTGTTCGCTCGGTGGCGCCTGCGGTGGGCCGGCGAGGAGGTCCAGCGAGGAGCAGAGGAGCTGGCCTGGGAGCTCGCGCTGGAGCTGGAGGCGGCGGAGGCGCTGTCCGAGACGATCGCCGGGGCGGCGCTCGATTGGCGGAAGGCGTACGACCACATCGACTTGGCCTCCCTGCCGGGCATCCTGGCGCGTGCCGGCGTCCCTCAATGGGTGTTGGCCCCAGCCCTGAGGGCCTACACGGCTCCGCGCCGGATCCGGGTCGGGCGCGCCATCGGCGAGGCATGGCAGCCCGCGTGCGGGCTGCTGCCCGGCTGCGCCGTGGCCGTTTTCTTCCTGAGCGTCCTCACGCTGCCGTGGCAACGGCGCACGGGGGAGCTGGACGACCGGCTACGGCGGCGTATCTACGTCGACGACTTCACGCTGTGGGCGCGGGGCGGCCAGGGCGAAGCCGGCGAGGTGGCGGAGTCGGTCGCCAGCGCATTGGCCATCACTGCCGAGTTCGAGCTCGCCATGGGCTGGCGGCTCAATCGCGACAAGAGCCGGCAATTCGCGAACACCGCGGCGCTCCGCAGATGGCTGGCGGCCCAGACCCCTCTGATCCCTGCCGGGCGGCAGTTCCGTGACCTCGGGGTGGTCGCCGCCGCGGGCCGGGTGCCTCGCTGCGCCGTTGCCGGCTCCAGGGCGCGCGCAGCTGGAGTGCGGTTTGCGCGGATCGGGCGGCTCCCCTTGGAGTTCTGACACCGATGCATGCTGGGCGCTGCTGCCGGCACTTCGGCGGGGTTGTACGGCGCCTCGCGCGGCCGCCCACCTGCGAAGGAGCTGGCCGGGCTGCGGGCGGCTGCGCGGCAGGCTGTGTGCCGAGGCGGATTCCGCGCTGCCGCAGAGGTGGTCTTTGGGGTCCTGAGCCCGACGTGGCGGCTGGACCCAGCGGCGGTCGTCGCTCGCGCCGTTGTGGCAGGCGTCGAAGGCGCTCCGCAGAGGGCGCTTTCCTTTGGCACTCTGGCGGGCCACGGACGGAGCCCGCGCGGCCGGGCACGGCCGCGGCGCCGGCCCTGTCGCCGCGGCCGCCTGGAGCTTGGCGCAGCTCCGCCTCGGCGACGACGTCGAGCGCTGGACCGGCGTCCCTGCTTGCCCAGACGGGTGGCGCCCGGCCGACCAGCCGCTCCAGGCCACGCGCGCTGTGCTCCTCGAGGCATGGGCGCGCAGGGAAGCGGCTGCCGTGGCAGGCAGAAGGGCTGACTTCGCGCATGTCGCGCGCGGGGTGGACCGCTGGGCAACCAGGCGGCTGCTGGAGACTGGGGCCCTCGCGCCGGACGCGGCAGGGGCCTTGCGCGCAGTGCTGTCTGGGAACGTCGTGACAGAATCGGTGGCGGCGAAGTGGGGCAAGCCGGCCAGATGCCCGCACTGCGGCGCCGCCTGCGAGGATCGCGAGCACCGCTTCTGGGTCTGCCCAGCCTGGGGCGCCGACAGGGCCGCCGCCCTGGCGACGGCGCGGATCTCGCAGGCCGCGCTGCGCGCGCGGCTGCCGCCGGGCGTGGCGAACACGGGCGTGCTGGCGACGGATGTCCGGCTCGCCGCCCTCGCCGAGGAGGCCACACGGGCTCTGCCGCTAGCCCCGCTCCCGGCGGCCCAGATGCCCGTGCCGCCCCAGTCGCGCAGGAGGGCTTGGACTGACGGGGCGTGCGAGCGGCCACAGGACCCGCTGATGGCCCGGGCGGCTTGGGGGCTGCGCCTGGAAGGACCCCGCGGCACGAGCGACCACAGCGGGCCGGTGGACGCGGCGCAGACCGCGCAGCGGGCTGAGCTGACCGCCGCGGTCCAAGCTGTCAGCCATGCGGGGGCGCCCGTAGAGGTCATCACGGACTCCCGCTACGTCCGCAATGGCGTTGCCGCCCTGCGCGCCGGCGCGTGCTACCTCGACTGGACGCACTCCGACCTTTGGGAGCGAATCGCGGAGCACAGCCGGAGCGGCTTCCTCACGGCGCGCTGGGTCAAGGGCCACACGACTGCCGAGGAAGCGCTCGCCCGGGGGCTGTCCGCTGAGGACAGGGCGGGCAATGCGGCCGCCGACCGCCTGGCGGGAGAAGCGGCCAGGGTCCGCCTCCCCCCGCCCGCGCTCTGCTTGGAACGCGACTTCCAGCTGACGGCGCTGGCCGCGGCGCAGCGCGTGCTCGCCGCGGTCGAGCTGGCGGCCTTGCGAGCCAACCACGAGAGCCGCGGGCCCGAGGGCCCGCGCGTGCGCCGCCGCTGGACGGCCGCGCGAGGGCCCCGCGCCGCCAGGAGGGCTCAGCCGCCGCCCGCGGCGCAGGCGGCGCCGGCTCCCCCTCCGCCGCCGCGCCGGCGGACCCGGGCAGCGATTGAGGCCGGCGGGGCCGTCGCGCCTCCTGCGCCGGCCGAGGCAGCGCGCGCCCTCTTCGCAGGCGCCGCATGGAGGGTGCACGCAGCTGCGCAGGGCCCGGGCTGGGTGGCGTGCCTGCGTTGCGGCGCTTCGGCGGCGCGGTGGGCGCAGCTGTCGGCGAGGCCCTGCCCGGGGTGGGCGCTGGCGCTGCCCCCGCGGGCGGCGATGCTGCTGCTGACGCCGGCGGTGCGTGCCGGCGGTGGCTCGGAGGCTTGGCGGGCCGCCTTGGAGGCGCGGCTGCGGGCTCGGCCGGGGCCGCCATACTAGTTAATTCGTAATTCGGTGCACCTCCTCCCCCCTCCTCCTCCTCCTCCTCCTCTCTCTTCAGCCGCGGGGCGCCCTGTTCGCATCGTAAAAGTGCTGTTGTCTCAGGGCGGTGTGCCTGGGGGGGGCTGCACAGTGGAAGACAAGAGGGCCGTCGGACGCAAAGTCAGGCCTAGCTGGTGGGGATACGCGAAGCGTGAAGAATTTCGGTCTCCTCTGGCCCCATGGTCTCTAAAACTGCCAAGATGGCCCAAGACGGCCTCCAAGACGGTCCCACGCCGCATATAAGAAGGCCAAGAAGGCCCCGAGAGAGCCCACGATAGCCCCAAGATAGCCTCCAACATGCCTCCAAGATGATCCAAGAGAGGCAAAGACGGCCCAAGAAGCGCCGAAGAGGCCCATAAGACGCCATCAGAAGCCTCCAATAGGTCCTCCAAGAAGGCCCGAAGAGACCAAACTCATTGATATTCTATATTTTGTTTGGGATGCGTCGGCAATTGCTTCAAAACGGCCTTCCAGTTGCCCAAGAGGCTCCCAATATTGCCCCAATAGCGCCCAAGAGGCCCCCAAGATGGCCCCAGGACGGCCCTAAGTGGGCTCCCAAAGACGGCCCCCCAAAGGCCCCAAGACTGCCCAAGGAGGCTCCCAAGACGCCCAAGGTGGCTTCCAAGACGACCGCGAACCGCCCCAGGAGCGCCCCAAGACGGCCCTGAGAGGCTCCCCAAACGGCTTCCGACCGCGCCCGACGGGTCAGGAGCGCCGCAAGACGACCAGAGAGGCCCCCAAGAAACGCTCCCAAAGCCCCCAAGAGGCCCAAGGAGGCTCCCCAGAGGACTCCAAGAGGCCCCCCAGAAAGTTCCCAGGAGGCCCCAATAATCATTCGAGAAGCTTCCAAGAGGTCTACTCATCCTTCTTCTCATCATCCTTGTTTCTCCCTCACTTCGTCCTCTTCCTCCCCCACGTGTTCCCCGAAAGGCTTGCACAACGGCCGGGGGAACGCATGGTCCAACAGCGCGGCCAAACTTCGCCCACACGTTTGGCCACATAGCCGTCTCCTAAGAGGCAGGGGGCGGCGGTGATTTGCCGTAGGCGTCTTCGATCCGCCGCGCCCCCGGTGGCTTGCCGAGAGGTGCACGGAGCGCTGAAATGTTGGTGGTTTGTGGCCCCTTTAGAACTCGCACTGGGGCTTCGACACAGCCCGTCGGCCCGGAAAGCCGCGTAGATTTCCAATCAACCTCTCCAACGGCCTGGATGGCATCCAAGATGTCTCCAAGACGGCTAATATGGCCCCGAGAGAGCACAAGAGAACCCCAATATGGCCTCCAAGAAGGTCACAAGATACCTCCAAGACCGCGAAGATGGCCCAAGAGAGCCAAAGACGGCCTACGAAGCGCCCAAGAGGCTCCTAAAACGGCCCAGGAGGCCTCCAAGCGGTCCTCCAGGAATGCCCAGATGAGGCCGAAATCGCTGGTGCAACTTAGGTTTTTGACAGATTTTGACATTTAAGACGGCCGTCCAACAGCCGAAGACGGCCCAGCAGGCCACCCAGATCGCCCCAAGATCGCCCCAAAGGCCTCCAAGATGGCCCCAGGATGGCCCTAAGAGGGCCCCAAGGCGGCCCCAAGACGGCCCAAGAGGCCTCCAAAACGTCCAAGATGGCCTCCAAGACGGCTCTGAAGTGCCCGAAGCGAGCCCCAAGACGACCCGACGAGGCTCCCAAGACGGCTTCCGACGGTGTCGGACGGGCCAGGAACGCCGTAAGGCAGCCAACGAGGCCCCAATAGTGACCCAAACTCCCAAGAGGTCTCCTCATCCTCCTTCTTCCTCCCTCTCTTCGTCCTCTCCCTTCCCCACGTGTTCCCCGAAGGGCTTGCGCAACGGCTGGGGGAACGCATGGTCCAATAGCGTGGCCAAACTTTGCCCGCACGTTTGGCCATACAGCCGTCTCTTAAAAGGCAGGGGGAGGCGGTGATTCGCCGTAGGCGTCTTCGGTAGGGCCGAGGACTCCTCTGGGCATTATCTTGCAGAACTGTTGCAATTGTAGGGTGATGCTGGAGCTCAGGGATCATCGGGTGTTGACAAGAAAAGTCCACAACTTGTGGGCAATTTTGGCGTCTCGGGCGCCGCTCTGGGACCCGACGGGGGCCTTCTTGGACACGTTCTTGGCGGAGGGCCACTCTTGCCGGCACCCGAAGTCAAGACCCCGCCCCCGCCGGGCACTTCGACAAGGCCCTCTGCACCAAGAGTGCGTGATGCTCCCAGCGCATGGCAGCGCTTCCAGGATCTTGTCGTTCTTTTCCCTGTGTTTTCCTTGCAGCAGGCTGTAAGGCATCTAGCACCACATCCTTCGTCGATTCTGAGCTTCGCAAGGTGCCGCAGGCTTCTGCGGGCTATAAGAATGATGAGAAATTATAGTGGTGCACTAGTTGACATGCTAGTTTCGTATTACTTTGTGCCTACTGTAGGAATTATTACAAGTTGTGTTTTTGCTGGGGCTCTCACGATGTCTTCTTTTTCTCTTTGTGTGTGGGACTCCTTCGTTTTCTGTATGGCCCCTCAAAATTCCTCCACGTCCACGCCGATCCGCAGCAGCTCGCTGTCGTCGGGCGCCCGCACGGGCGCGGCGTTGAGCTGAGAGCGGTGCATGTCCCTGGTGATGGGCGCCTCCTGAAGAAAGAGATGCAACCGCACAAACAAAAACTCTCGGAGGTTCGCGCAGATTGCTTGGATCCTCGATGGGCTCACCTACCTGGCGCGCAGAGCCACCTCCCTGGCGCGCGGAGCGCACCAAGGACGGCGCCGGAGGCGCCGCCAGGGGGGCCCAGCGCAGATCCAAGGAAACCGCGTGGACCTCCGAACATGTATGCTTACGCAATTGTTTCTTCTTCCAATTCCAGCTCCATGCTCGCCGCCCTCAGGCCGGGGCAACTGAGCTGCACCCCGCAAGGGCAGACGCTCCTGGGGAAACAAAAGGCACCGATACCGTTGCGCCCTGGATCTCTCTGGGGTGCGCTCCCGACCAGAGTCTCGGGGCGACTCCAGCCGCGGCGACGAGGGCCTCCCAGGAGGCTCCCCAAAAGGGCAAAAGCGGGCCCAGGGTGCAGCCAACCCAAAAAACGACACGGATAAGGATGCGCGACAAGGACGCAAGGGCCCTGGAAGGCCACGTCGACACTTGGTGAGCGGGGCGCAGCCATCGAAAGCGGCCAAGGATGGGCCGAAGGGGGACGAGGAGGAGGACGAGGATGAGGATGAGGAGGGGGAGGAGGAGGAGGAGGAGGAGGAGGAGGAGGAGGAGGAGGCGGAGGAGGAGGAGAAGGACGAGGAGGAGGAGGAGGAGGAGGAGGAGGAGGGAGGAGGAGGAGGAGGAGGGAGGAGGAGAAGGAGGAGGAGGAGGAGGAGGAGGAGGGGGAGGAGGGGGAGGAGGGGAGGAGGGGGAGGAGGAGGGGGAGGGAGGAGGAGGAGGAGGAGGAGGAGGAGAAGGAGGAGAGGAGGAGGAGGAGGAGGAGGAAGGCGGAGGAGGAGGGGGAGGAGGAGGAGGAGGAGGAGGAGGAGGCAGAGGAGGAGGGGGAGGAGGAGGACGAGGAGGAGGACGAGGAGGAGGAGGAGGATTCCTCCTCGGAGCTCCTGGCCCAGTCGCTCTCGAGCGCCAGCAGGGCCACCGCCGCCAGCGCCGTGCCCTCGCGGAACCGCTCCCGCATGCGCGTGCCGTCCGGCAGCTTCAGCGCCACCTTCCAGAGGCCCGGGGAGACACACAGTACTCGACGCGGAGATCCCCATAACATCTGCTTGCCCGCACACTTCCCGCTGCGAGCGTCTGGGTGCGAGAGTCTAGGCGTGAACGGGTCCCTGAGCATGATAACCTGGGGTCCGATGAGTCTGGGTGTGAAGGAGCCTGGGTGAATGAGTCTGAGTGTGAGTGAGTCTGTGCGCATGACTGCGAGCGAAGGTGAGCAGTCTGAGTGTGGGTGTGAGCGTGAGAGGTCTGATTGTGTGTTTGCGTGTGAGTGGCCTGAGAGTGCCAGAGGTCTGAGAGCGTGTGAGTGTGAGTGTGCGCGTGGGAGGTCTGCATGGTCTGCACGTGAGTGTGAGTGGTCTGCGTGTGAGTGTGAGCTCAAGCTGCGTGTATTTGGCACCGGGAGAAGCACACCGCCCGAGACATCCCTTCAGAGTCTGCGCCCCTCGGGATGCTGGAGCCGGTGCCCCACTCGAGGCGTCCTTACCTTGCCGTCGCTCGGACGTCCATTTCCCGTGCATTTTTCGGTTTCGTGCGTGTTTTTTTCGCTCGATGGTCCAGGATGGTCCTCAAGGGTCCTCGCCGAGGAAAAAGTACACACATCCGAGCGATGCCAGGTTACAGTCTGTTCTGAACGCAGACGAGCCTGGGGTCCGAAGCAGGCAATCCGCCCGAGACGTCCCCGCAGTCTGGGCGAGAACGGGCCCTTGATACAGCCCCGTGGCGGCTCTCCCTGGTGCGCTGGGAACAGCGCGACATCCCCGCAAACTGTGCCAACGCAGAGGATGTCGCGCTCGCAAGCAGGCAAGGCAAACCGCCCGAGACATCACCATAATCTGGGAGCGAACCCTGGAATGCCCGCACCCTGGCGGCTCCCCCTCCAGAGTGCTGAAACCAGCGCTTCGCTGGCTTCCCCCCCCCGAAGTTCTGAAACCAGCGCCTCGCCCAAGACTTCCTCACACATTTCTTCGAAAGCAGAGGTTGTTGCGCATGCCAACAGGCCAGCCACCTGAGACATCCCCACAATCTGGGTGCAAATCCTGGCATATACAACTTCCAGGGTTCGCGCAAGATTTGCTTCCGGATTTTCCGCATCTCCGTCTTCCCGCTCCATTTCCAATACTTTCCCATATTTTCCTGGGAGTCCCTGAGTTCCGACGTTGCAAAAACACTTGCAACATCGTGGGAAATTGCGACCAGAGCTTCGGACCCCATCTTTCTGCCTCATTTTTCGGGCCGGATCAATCTGTGTGGGCCCCGGGGCCCGAAACGGGGCAGAAACGCCCGGTGTGAAAATACTGCGACGCCAAGATCTCAGGGATCGGCGTTTGATTGTGTCTGTAGCAGGAGAAAACAACAGCATAAACATAAGCTTTAGGCGCTCCGCGCGGATTGCGCGCCAAGGGCGGCCCCGGAGGCGCCGCGGGGGGGGGGGCCCGCGCGGATCCAAAAAATCCGCGCGGAGCACAAAACGATTTCAAATTATGTTCATGCTGTTTCTTCTTCTTCTTCTTCTCCTATTCTCAGGGGATCGGCGTTCGCCTGTGCCTGTGCCTATCTCTCTCCCTCCCGGCACCTCCACAGTAGCGCCGGCCGCCGCCGCCACGCCGCCCGCGGCGGCGAGGCCCGCGAGGCGCTGCCGCTCGGCCCGGAGCAGCGCCTCCCGGGCGGCCTCCAGGCGCGCCTGGAGGTCCTCCGCCTGCCGCCGGAGCTCCTGTGGGACGCATCTGCGTCCTCCCCTTCCTCCTCCTCCTCCTCCTCCTCCTCCTCCTCTCCTCCTCCTCCTCCTCCTCCTCCTCCTCCTCCTGCTGCTCCTCCTCCTCCTCCTCTCTCCTCCTCCTCCTCCTCCTCCTCCTCCTCCTCCTCCTCCTCATCTGGGCATGCGGCCCAGATCGCGCCGCATCGGCGATGCATCGGCGCCGTCGGCGTGGAGCAGCTCGGGCTCCGCATCGGCGATGCGGCGCGCTCCCTGCGACCCCATCTGCTCCGACCCCAACCGGGAGGTCTGGAGTCGCCGCGCCGTGTGTCCTGAACGCGCCTATGTGGGCTAGTTCGGAGACCCTGCGCCCAAAAAAAGGTTTCCTCTCTCGGGGGCGCACCTTTTACTTTCGCCGTCCTCCGCACCCCTTCCGCTGGCTTCCGCCGGCGGAGGCGGCCTTGTTTTACTTCTGCCGACCTTCCTCCGCCTTCCGCCGCGGAAGAGATGACAACTCCTTGGATCCTCGAAGGCAAGGCCATTTTCGGAACGCTCCATATGTCGCCGCACCGTTTTCTCAGAGCACGCCCAAATCGACGAAGCCGGCACCGCTGCAGACCCACGGCCAACCTTGCGTCCAAGGCGAAGTTTGCCCTGGTGGGCAAGGCGCCCTCCCCAAGGCGTAAGGTCGCGCGTCAGGTGAAACGGCGCGGCGGCGAGCGACGAAAACAATCGGGTCTTACGCGAGATGGCACAGCGACATTATGCCGCGGCTTACGCGGGCCGCCAGCGCGACAAACCACACTGGAGACTGGGACGCTTACGCGCGACCTGACGCGGGCAGCATGCGCGCGAAGGTCGGCGCAGTGGGACTCGTTGTCTTGCGTCGCTTATTATATGCATGCCTCCGTTGGAGGCGCACGTCCGACCCGAACATCTAGCACAACATATTGCAGCATATACGCGTCGTTCATTTCTCATCGTGCTCATTTCTGACTGCGCTCGTTTCTGATTGCTCCAGGCCCCCATATAGTGGCCGGGAAGAGGCCCAGGAGAGAAAAAGTAGAAATGAGCTGACCTTGGCCCCCCAAAATCAAACAGCTCTCGAAGAATTAGAAATGAGCAATGTGTCTTGCCGTCGCTCGGACGTCCATTTCCCGTGCATGTTTCAGTTTCGTGCGTGTTTTTTTCGCTCGATGATCCAGGATGTTCCTCAAGGGCCCTCGCCGAGAAAAAAATACACACGTCCGAGCGACGCCAGGGTGTGGTTTCCCGGGCGGTGTGGCGCGAGCGCGCCCGCCACGGGGCTCACGACGTGTAAGAGGCTTCTGTGAGCGTGCGCGCCGCCCCATGCCGTGGCCGCCCCGCACGCCTGGCACACACGCGTGTGCTTTTGCCTGGTGCCGGTCTCCTGCTCCCTCGCGCGCTGCTGCTCCAGGCATCGCTCCTGGAGAGGTTGACTTGCCGTCGCTCGGACGTCCATTTCCCGTGCATTTTTCGGTTTCGTGAGTGTTTTTTTCGCTCGATGGTCCAGGATGGTCCTCGATAGTTCACGCCGAGAAAAATGCACACGTCCGAGCGATGCCAAATTGACAGGGCCCCCCCCGCCCCGTCGAGCCGCCTCGCGATTTGCACGTCCTGCTCGTCCTCGAGAGGCTGCTGCTGCGGCCGTGGCTTCTGTGGCGGTCCCGAGGCCGCTCTCACTGCAGGGTGCTCTGCTGAAGGGGTCCCTGTCCACCCCCGACTCCTGGTAGGATCTCCTCTTCGCCTCGTCCTCCTCGTCCGGCGGCGCCTCGAAGTCCACCTTGAACTCGAAGTACTCCTCCATGTTCGTGTCGATGAGGCGGACGGCAGCCTTGGGCTGGAGCTCGACGACCTGGAACTGGAAACTCTGGCCGTCCACAAACACCTGCACGCACGTGTCCTCAGTGAGCGCGCTGCATCGCACTAGGGACTCCTTGAGCAGGGCGGGTATGTTGTGGCCCCGCGCGGCGTCGTAGAAGCACGCACTGTGGGCCTGGATCCTCACGAAAGAGACGAGGTCCAGGCTCACCTGAGCGACGAACGCAAACGGGCCTTACGCGAGAAGACATCGCGTCTTTACGCCACTGCTTACGGAAGCAGCCAGCGTGGCACACCGCGCGGATGTCGGCACAGTCGAGCCCATCCCGTTTCCCTCCGTCGCCCACCTGCCGCAGAGTCACCTCCTCGGCCTCGGCGATGGCGAGGTCATCCATGACCCAGCGTGGAAGAATGGCGTGGCCGGGCAGGAGGTCTGGAAAGAACTGCCCGGCCACCGAGCAGTGCCTCTTGCGCCCAAGCCTCGTCTTGACCTCGAACAGAAGGGGGCCGCGGAACTGCTCGCCCGCCTGAACGATCTCTTGGAGGTACGACTCTGGCAGCCCGATCCTGTCGGAGGCCTCCAGGCAGTCCATCCCCGCGACAGACGGGGACAGCACTCGCACGCCAGGCCTGACGAAGTTACTCTCGGAGGAAAGCCGGTTGAGACAGCAGCGGACCTCCCGCCCGGTCCAAATTCGTTCCATATCGGACCCTGGACCATTCCGGGCGGGGGGCGAAGAGAGAAGGAGGAGGAGGAGGAGGAGGAGGAGGAGGAGGAGGAGGAGGAGGAGTCCACCGTGACAAGTTCTTCGAAGCAGATCCAGCGACGGCGACGAGGAGCCCCCGAGAGGCCCAGGGGGACGAGAAGCGCAGGGGATGGCCGCCGATGTCTCGACGGGCACCCCTCAGACATTCTCCGTCGAGATCAGCTCGGTCTTCAGCCGCTCCAGCACCGGGTGCGGTCGCAGGTACGGCACGCGCCATGGCACCGAGCAGTCCACCTGCCCGTCGCTCGCACTCCCCCCGCCCTCCCCAAAGCGCTGGCTTTCGCCACGTTGCCGCCTGTGCCGCCTCGTGGGCGCCTCGTGGGCGCCCCGCACTTGGAGGGTGTGCCGAGGTTGCGCCACGTTGCCGCCCGTGCCGCCTCGTAGGCGCCTCGTGGGCGCCCCCGTGCGCCTGGGGGGCTATGCCGAGGTTGCGCCACGTTGCCGCCTCGTGGGCGCCTCGTGGGCGCCTCGGCATAGCCTTCACCGCGTAGCTTCCACCGCACCGCAAGCGTTACACCACGCAGCTTGCATCGCATAGGTAGCTTGCACCCCGTCTCTCGCCTCCATTTCGCACCGCCTGGCTTAGACGACATAGCTCACACACTGCTTGCACCCCATCGCTTCCACCTCCACGACTCATACAACATAGCTTACACCATGTAGTCTATACCGCGTAGCATCCCTCTCCGTAGTGCAGTGGCTTACTGTTTGCGCTGGCTCACATTGGTTTTCTGCTGCTTGTTTGTTTGCTGATCCTCGCGAGCGACCTGCGTGTCGCTCGAGAGGAAGCCCAGCTGGACCCCCTCGAGCACCTGCAACGCCGTGGACTCTGGACGCCAACCTGCCACGGACAGGAGCTCGTTGCACATTTTCCCTCCGAAGGTGACTGGCGCTGACCTTCGGAGTAGGAAGAGGTACTGGTACTGCTAGCCTTGCCCCGAGTTCGCAGACACAATTCATCGCCGATTCCCCAGAACATATGGGAAAGCATGGGAGGTGGGGGGAAGACGAAAAGCCCGAAAACATGGGAAACTATGAATAATCTTGGGATTTGTGTCTATTGATTTGTGTGTCCCTGGGCCCCTTGAATTTTGTGGCGCTGTCGCACGGCACGCACGCGCCCGAGGGGGCAGATCCGCGAGGGCACGGCGCTGGCGGCGCTGGCGCTGCTGGCGCTCGAGAGCGACTTGGCCAGGAGCTCTGAGGAGGAGACGAGGAGACGCTGACGCGATACATCGCGTTCGGCGACCGGGGGGCCCCATTGGGCCCGCACCAAAGGCCACTCCGGATGCCATTTTTACGTGCAGTCGATCCTTGGAGGCCCTCGTCGCCACTGACGGATCCGCCTCAGAAAACGAATCAGGATGGACTGCAGTTGAGCAGGGACCGTCCGTCCCGGCATTCCTATCGTCCTACTACGAAATGTTCTTAGAATCCAAACAATGTTCTAAGAAGACAAACAATGTTCTGAAAACATAGACCCGATGTGTTAAAACAAGACAGACTCCGCCAGACATGTTCTAAGAACATTTCGTGGGAACCACACAATGTTCTTAGAACATTGTTTGGTAGGGCCATAGGCGAGCCAGGACGCTTCGCCACTGCTTGATCCAGGGAAGGACCCGGGGTCCGATGTTGAACGGTTTTGAACCGCGCGGGAGGCCCGCCGTCGTCTCCGCCGGCTCTCCCCCGAAGATGGCCTCGTCGGGCCCAGCGTGCGCATGCTGCCCCCCTCTGTCGCGGGGATGGCCCGGGGAGTGCCCCAGGAGAGGCCCGGGGAGTAGCGTGAGGTCGGGCATGCACTCCTACCGGCGGATTCTGGGCAAAAGGTGACAAATATTCAAACATATCTTAAGATATAACAATAGAACAAAATGTTCCAGGCTACTTTTGACTATTTTCGAATATTCCTCCTGTAGAGGGACATGCCCGACTTAAGAGTAGCAGTACCGGCACCTTGTGGTTTCCCCAGACCTGTGGATGAGTCGAGGGCGCTGCACCCACACCTCTGGGGGGCTGGCCGGGTAGCCGAGCGGGAACCTCGGCACGCCCGGAAGGGGCGCGGGAACAAATGGGTTCGATGCCCAGCAGCAAATGCCGGCCAGAATCCGCAGCGGCCGCTGGCTGGGCAAAGGCTTTTTTGCCTAAAGTGGACAGCGCGCCCGAGGCGACGCCGACAGCGAGCCCAGTTCAAAATGGGCAGGAGCTGCTGTCGCTCTTCGTTCGACTACACGCCAAGAGTGACCCCAGCCAAGGGTGACCTCTGGTGCGCGGCCAATGCGGGGGCCCTCTGGGAGACCACCAGGCGTGAAAACCCGCTGCTATCACATCGCATTCAGCGATCGGGGGGACCCCTTGGGCTCGCACCGAAAGTCACTCCGGCGAAAGGTCACTCTTACATGTAGCCGATTCCTAAACCCACGACGTCGTGACTTTTTCACAACGACGACCCCCAGAGCTCTTGACCCCTTCCAGGGACCGGTTTCTCGTCCCGAGACCTTTTTGAACGGCCCCGAGGTCTGGCAAGGGCTCCCAGAGGCTGAAAAATAGCGAAACACCGCCCGTCGTGTTTTTGTTCCACGACGCGTGGGGGTCTGGGTTACACGTCGTTCATTTCTAATCGTGCTCATTTCTAATGGTGCTCGTTTCTAATTTTTTCCTGGCCCCCCAGTGGCCAGGAAGAGGCCCAGGACAGAAGAACTAGAAGTGAGAGGATCCTGGCCCCCAGAAAATTAAAAGAATTTTCGAAGAACTCGAAATGAACAGTGGTTAATGCGGGATGACGATTCATTAAAAAATGGAAGAGAACGATTAAAAACATAGTTTTCCGCGATTTCTGTACAATTTTCAGACTGGAGGAGAACGATCAAAAAATAGTTTTCCAGCCCGCGGCCGGTTTTTTCGAATCGTCATCTCGGGCGCCGCCGCGTGAACACGACCCCCGGTCATTTATCAATCGTCATCCTCCGTTACTAGGGAGCCCACAAAGGACGTACGCACCCAGCTATGTACATGAACACGGCCCCTCGATCTGCGAGACCGGCCGCGTGATACGAACTTTCGGGCAATGCGTACTCTCGAAACCAGCGTGGATTCATGTACATGTACGTCCTTCTTCCGCTCCTGAGTTACATGTAGCCGATTCGTCCCCGTCCTTCCCGTGCCCCCTTCGATCGTGCACCGAGAGCCGGACCCGCAGCGTCAGGTGGGTCTCCGCGTCCCGGCCCAGGTCGGCCAGGTGCTGGAGCCCCCTCGCCGGCGGCGGCTCAGACGGGGCTCTGCAGAGTCCCTCCCTCCTCCCTCCCTCCTCCCTCCTCCCTCCTCCCTCCTCCCTCCTCCCTCCTCCCCCCTCCCTCCTCCCTCCCTCCCCCCCTCCCTCCTCCCTCCATCCCTCCCTCCTCCCTCCTCCTCCCTCCTCCTCCCTCCTCCCTCCTCCCTCCTCCCTCCCTCCTCCCCCCTCCCCCCTCCCCCCCTCCTCCTCCCTCCTCCCTCCCTTCTCCCTCCTCCTCCCTCCCTTCCTCCCTCCTCCTCCCTCCCCCCTCCCTCCTTTCCTCCTCCCTCCTCCCTCCTCCAGGGGGGCCCTGAGGATGGGAAGGGATCCCAAGGTGAACTTGCATTCCCAGATGTCCAGGGCTGCTTTCCCACGCGGGGTCACCGTGGCTGACACGACCACGGGACCGATTCCGGAAGCCCTGAGCCCAAAACCTTCCCATCTCTTGGGAGACCGACTTTTACTTCCGCCGGCGTCCGCCGAGCTTCCGCCGAGCTTCCGCCGCCTTCTGCTGACGGAGCCGGCCTCGGTTTACTTCCTCCGACCTTCCGCCGCCTTCCGCCGAGGAAGATATGGCAACTCCTTCAATCTTCGAAGGCGAGGCCGGCTTTGGGACGCCCCACGCTGCGAATCAAAAGGTTCGCCCGGCAAACCGGGAACACCGCACAAGGACCTGCAGTAGACAAGCTACAATGCTATGAGTAAGTCGGGCGTGTCCCCCTGCAGGGGCATTTGCGACGAAAAATTAAAAAAATACTAGAACGAATGCACCAAAATGGTAAACAAATGCTTTCAAACAAATCGTCCCCAGCTATTTTTTGCCTATTTCTGAAGATCCCCCCTGTAGAGGGACAGGACCGACTTCGTGCTATGAGCCGTGGCCTGAACAACACGTCCGGGCGCCTCCCCCTGGCTCTTCGGCCCCTGTGGGGGGGGGCCTCGTCGTCGGGCCCTGGGGGCACCAGGCACTGATCCCAGACCCAGCACTACTCCAGGGGAGGAGGAGGAGGAGGAGGAGGAGGAGGAGGAGGAGGAGGAGGAGGAGGAGGAGGAGGAGGAGGAGGAGGAGGAGGAGGAGGAGGAGGGACAAACATCAGATCGGAGGATGTGTGGGATGCTCGGGCCCCTTTTTCGTGGCCCTGGGTCCAGAGAGCGGGCCCCCTTGGGAGGACGAAGCCGAGGGAGAACGTTCAGATTGAAGAGCACACACCCTCGGAGATCTGGGAGCGTAGATTCCGCTTGGGACCCCTTCCCCACCATCAGAGGGCCCCATCTGTGAACCGCCGACCTCTGCAAGACCGAGTCGTCTGGGAAGCGCATGCCGACTTCCCAGTCCAGCAGGCTGTCCTCGATCGGCTCGCAATGTACCAGCCCGCACGAGGGGACTGGCGACTGCTCCCGGAGCGCCCTCTCCACGAGCCTGAAGTCCTTCATCAGCCGCAGCAGGTTGGGCTTTGGCATCGCGGCCCCCTCTATCGAAGAGAAGAAAAACAACAAACTTCTCAATCCAGGCGTTTTTCTTCGGTTTCGGCCTCCGGGGGCCGTCATCGGGCTCCAGGACTACCAAAAACGGATCCAGGGCGCAAAACTACCCCCCGGGAGGGGTCGGAACCTCTGGGGCCGCGGATTGAAACAATCAGACTGGCGGAGGCCGGGTAGACCACATAAGCATGCAGATGCAGGTATAGTTATATACGACGGTCTACGTCTTGCAAGAAGAAATCCAAGGGCACATTCTAGAAGAAGAACAAAAGCACATAAGCACAAACTTTTGGCGCTCCGCGCGGACTTCTTGGATCTGCATTGGACCTCACTCCCCAGCGCGCGGAGCGCGCCAGGGGCGGCGCCGGAGGCGCCGCCGCGGGGGCCCAGCGCGGATCCAAGAAATCCGCGCGGAGCACCAACAGTTTATGTGTACATGTTTGATTCGTTATAAGCAGTCGTCGTTCATATCTAAATTTCTACAGGGTCTCAGAGGACCTCTGTGGGACCCTGGGGCCAGCGCGGGGATAAAGCAAACTTCCCGGAGGCACCTGTTGGCAGGCCGGCTCATGACTTGCCATTCCTGCTGGAGGCCGCTGGAGGTCCGTGCGGACTTCTTGGAGGGGCGCGGGGCCCCCCTCCCTGGCGTTAGGTCGGGCATGTCCCCCTACAGGCGGATCTATATATATATATATATATATATATATATATATATAGTGGCACGTGTGTGCCCAGGCTCATACAAAAAACTGAAGGGGCGTTTGAAGCAGGAGTGAAATGCAACATCGAAGTCGCACTCGAGCGCAAGTGGGGTTGCCACACCTTGCGATGTGTGTACCAGGACCCCCCAGGAAGCCTCAGGAGGCCCGACTTGGATACCAGAAGAGGCTCCAGGAGGCCCCAGGATTGTGAGTGTTGTGCGTGTGTGTGTGTGTGATGTATGCTTTGTGTGGTGCGTGCTTTTTGTGTGTTGTAGGTGTTGTGTGTGTGTGTGTGTGTGTGTGTGTGTGTGTGTGTGTTATGTTTGTCTAGCGTGTGATGTGTTGGGCGTGATTTGTGTCTCTGTGTGCATGTAGTTCTGAAGCCCCAGGAGGCCCCAGGAAGCCCCAGGCGGCCTCAGGAGGCCCCAGGAGACCCCAGGAGGCTTCAGGAGGCCCCAAGAGGCTCCAGGAGGCCGCAGGAGGCCCCAGGAGGCCCCAGGAGGTTTCAGGAGAGCCCCAGGAGGCTCCGAGGCGGGGTCTGGGGTGCCAGAAGGTTCAGAAAGCCCCAGGAGGCCCCAGGAGGTTCCAGGAGGCCCCCAGGAGGCTCCGAGGCGGGGTCTGGGGCTCGATTTTGGAAGGATTTTTCAAGCGAAACCGCAATACCCTGAGAATCGGGGTCACAATTATTGAAATTACCATGTGTTTTTGAAGGTTTTATGTTAAAATGTTGGAATTCCCATGTGTTTTTGGACCCTGACGTCACGATCTGCGTGAGGGGCGCCACCGATTTTCAGAATTTCGAGGATGTCCCGAGCGAAACGCCCAGACAAATCGCGGACGCGTGCGCATTAATCGCCTCTGAGCTCTACTCCCTCGCAGAGGTGCGTATGAGAATATATATATATATATATATATATATATATATATTTTTTTTTTTTAAAAAAAAACCGTATCCATTTTGGCTCAAGTGGGGCCGGCCCCTAGCGCCCCGCGCACAGGGCGCATTCCGGCCTGGCGTGCTCTCTCAGCCTCGGCCGCCATCCTGGTCCGCGGACTGGCTTGCGCGCGTGCTGCTCCTGGCGAGGCTGGCGCGAGGGCGCCGGCATCGCATGCCTGGCAGCCTCTCCGGCGTGTGCTGCCATGGCCTCCGGCGGCCGTGCGCCTGCCGCTGGTGATGGAGCTGCGATGGAGCCGCAGCACATGGCCGTCGGCAGCGCGAACACGGCGGGCATCGCTGCTGCCCCGCCGGACAGGCCTGCGCCGCTGCCGGACGCAGAGTCGCCGCACGAGGCATCGCCATCGTCCGCTGCGGATGGCCGCCATGCGCTGCAACGAGTGGTGGCTACGCTCACGGACCCTGCCACCGGAGTCCGTCTCGACATCTACGACGACAGCACCGCCACGAACATCGCGCGCGTGCTCATCTATGCCGCCAAGGCTCATGTCCGGGCAGCTGCTGCAGCTGCCCCTGGTGAACACGAGTCGCTCCTGAAGGCCTTCGCGCTCCCGCTCTCCAAGGCTGGGGCCGACAACGGGGATGACGCTGCCAAGTGCCTTCCCGACGCCGAGGTCAGCCAGAGCCTCATCAGCGCCGAGTCTGACATCCATGCCGTCGAGCGAGGTGCGACCGCCATCCTCCTCAGCGCCGCGGCCCACAGGCGCACTGAGGACAACGCGTCTCTCCACACCGAGGCCGACGAGGCCGGGCCCGGCGTCGCTTCTGGCACCCCCTTCGGACCGCTTCCGGGGAGCTCGGGGATCGAAGCCCCCTCCTCGCAGTATGAGGCCGTTCGGAGCCCGGGAGTTGGGGCCGGTACTATCGCTCACGAGACAGGTGCCGATAGTCTGATCTTCACGCCCCAGCGTGCAGACGGCAGACCAGAGCATGGAGCAACCTCTGTCACGCCTGGCCTCTCCAGCCAGGTGCCGACACGATCAGATGCGGCTAACATCTTCGACGAAGTTCACCTTGCCACGCCGCTCGCAGCTAAACGGGACCCCCATGATCCCGGAAGCTCCAGTGACGCCTCCGCCGAGGCCCTTGCCGATGAGAAGACGAACGAGTCCGACAAGATGAGCCTCCCAAAGGTGCCAGAGTTCCCTTCCGCAGCGCTGAAGTCAGAACTCGTGGGCGCCGAGGGTAATCTGGACAGCAACGCTGATCCCAGGGACATCGTTGATGACCATCCTGTGTTCCAATCCGTGAGTGGAATGCAGGCAGATCTGATCGGACAGACAAGCACCAGCATGCCATTATTTGTAGGTGCGCATGGAGTGCCATTGAAGCTAATAGTAAAGGCTATGCACTCCGTCAAATACATTAAGACCCTCGCAATGAAGGTTGCGAGAATGCATGATCATGACACCGCTAAGTGTCAGGTGTCATTTGCTTTTCTGGACGATGCGCACGAGCTTCAGGCGGTAAGCACCCGAGATGATCTTCTGCTCACGTCTGTCCTGAAATCGTTGCCTAGTGACTCCCTCGTGGTCGCGAGGATTGAGCCTATGTGAGAGGCCCTGCCCAGTGATAGAGCCTCGTGGCGGTGTAGCTGCATGTCTTTGCCTGCTCTGCCCCGCCGACGCTTGACAGCCTTCGTGTCTGGATAGCGTCCTTGTGTTCGTCAGCCGCCTGCCTGGTGAACACTCCAGTGCAACTGAGCCCAGTGTCTAAGTGCACGTCCATAGTGCCCTCTTGCACTCAAAGCCTAGAGATCCGATGCTTGAGACTACCATTCCTTGCCGAATATATATATATATATATATATGTATATATATATATATATATGCATTTTTTATACAGGTATATATATAGATATATACATATATACATATATATATATATTATGAATGACGAAGAACACAAAATGTCCAACAATATTCAAACATGATTTTAAAACCAAAGGAATCGTCGCCAGAGTATTTTTTGACTATTTTTGAACATTCCCCCTATAGAGGGACAGGCCCGACTTAAACCTGGCGCGCGAAGGCGCCGCCCAACGGGGGCCTGGCGCCGATCCAGGAACTCTGCGCGGCCATCCGAAAGCTTGTGCTCAGCTGCACGCACCTTGTTGGGGCGCCCACAACCGTGCGGCGAGAGGCCGTGCCGTGACCCAGTTTTGGGACCTCGGAGGCCCCAGTCGCCCGAGACGTCAGCGGAGAACGACCCAACTCCCAAAGCCGTGCGGTCACCCCGAACACACGGTCCCAGACACGATCGCGCCGTAAGAAAATCAGGATGGCACGGTTTTCACTATTTTCTGCCCTTGGGGGCCCTCGCCAGGCCCCAGGACCGTCAACAAACGGCTCAAGATGAAAAACCAGCCCCGGGGAAAGAGTCTGAACTTCAGGGGACTCCGTCCTGAAAAAAAATCAAGTCGTCGCATGTCTGGGGTGTGGTCACCTAGACGTCTCCTAGAATGGGTTCGAGTAAGTGGGGTCGGAGGATTGCACCGGATCGGCGATGCAACGGCGATGCCGCGCGATCCTCCGACCCCATCAATCGGACTTCATGTGGGAGGCCTAGATCTAGAGGAACAAAACAACGGCACAAACATAAACTTTTTGGCGCTGCGCGCGGATTTCTTGGATCCACGCCGGACCCCACTCCCTGGCGCGCGGAGCGCGCCAGGGGCGGCGCCGGAGGTGCCGTGCCGCCCGGGGGGCCCCAACGCGGATGCAAGAAGTCCGCGCGGAGCGCCGACAGCTTATGGTGATGCCGTTTCTTTTGTTTTTGTTTCTTCTTCGAAGATTACCGCACCGTTTGGGGAGGAGGGGGAGGGGGAGGGGGAGGGAGGGGGAGGGGGAGGAGGAGGAGGAGGAGGAGGAGGAGGAGGAGGAGGAGGAGGAGCGCTTCGTGTATGACCAACGTTCAAAATTGGAGGAGGACGGCGAGGGCGAGGACGAGAACAAGGAGGAGCACCCCATCTGGGAGGCCAATAGATCGCCGCAACTTTTTTGGGGGCCCCTGAGGTTGTGAGGGGCAGCGGCAGGGGGGGACTGGCATAGGGGGGGGATGCATCGACCTGGAATCGGCGAGACATCGCGGACAGACCGGCGATATGCCTCCGATCGTGACTCCGCACCTTCCTGGGCAGGCTGGGGCTCTCGGGCCTCACTCGGCGATCAACGGGCGCTCGGGGGTCGAGGCATCCCCCCCTCTGTGCCTATCCCCCCCCCCTCTCCTTGCCCCTGAGCTTTCGCTCTGCTCCGATCCTCGCCGGCGGCGGCGGCGCCGTCGACGATCGACCGCCACCGCGCGGCCCTCGCCCGCCGCGCGGCCTCCGTGCTCCGCAGCTGGAGGACCACCTCGGGGCCGGCCCGCGCCCCGCCGCGGGCGGCGGCGAGGCCGGTCTGCACGGCGTGCAGGGTGCCCGCGCCCTGGGCCTCGGCCGGCGCCGCGCGAGAGGGGCCCTATATATAGAGGCGAGAGGGTCCTTCGCCGCGCGGCGCTTTTGGGGGAAGGGGGGGGGCGTTTGTGTGTTCGCTCGCTTGTTTCTGTTCGCTCGCTCTCTTTTCCCTCGTTTTTTTGTTGTTGTGTCCGCTCGATGCTTTTCGCTCGAAGTGTTGTTCGCTCGAATGTGTGTGTCGCCCGCTTGTTTGTTCGCTGGCTTTGTTTTCGCTCGGCTTGTTTTTCGCTCGGTTTCGTTTCGCTCGCTTAAAGATGTTTGTTGTTCGGCTTCGTTTCGCTCGGTCTCGTCTCGCTTGGTTTTCGCTCCGGTTGCGCTGGTGCAGCCGAGCGGATGCAAACCGAGTGAATTTAAACCCGAGCGAATTCTAACCGAGTGAAATTAAACCCTAACAAATTTAAACCCGAGCGAATTTAAACTCGAGCGCATTCAATTCGAGCGAATTTAATCTGAGCGACTTGAAACCGAGCGAAATTGAACTGAACGAAATTTAAGCCCAGCGAAATTCAACCGAATGGATTCAAACCGAGCGAAATTAAACCGAGCGAATTCAAACTCGAGCGAGTTTCACCCCGAACGAATTCTAATTCGAGCGTATTGATATCCCGTGTGGTCGTTTTTGTTGTTGTTGTTGGAGGTGCTTGGAAGGTTTTGGTTGGAAGGTTTTTGGTAGGTTTGTCTGTTTATTGATAAAGGTTTTTGGAAGGTTTGCGTAAGGTTTTGGGGAGGATGTTTGAAGGTTCCTGGAAGGTTTTTGGAAGTATTTGGAAGGTTCTTTTCCCTGCAAGATTTTTGGAAAGTGTTTGCACGGTTTTCGGAATGTTCTGTGTGATCCCGGTAAAATTTGGAAGGCTTTGGCAGGTTATTGGAATGTTTTTGGAAGGATCTTGCAAGGTTGTTAGAAGGTCTTTGCAAGGCTTTCGGTAGGTTTTCGGCAGGTATGTTGGAAGGTTTTGTGGAAGGTGTTTGGAAGGTTTCGCTCGAGACATCCTCAAGACCTGGGCACATGAAAACAAGGATTTCACCTGAGACATCTTCTGAATTTTAGTTCCCAGAAAAAGAACAAGCTATAACACAAAACAGCCGTTTCGCTCGAGACATCCTCAACACATTCTGCAAAACAAGCGTTTCGCTCGAGACAACCGCGACAGACGACAATGTGTACTTCACCATGTGTTTTAATTTTCGGGACTCCAAAACCCAGCGTTTCACTCGGGACATCCTCAAACATAATTCCGCCTGCCCTTCCCGACCTCGATGATTATCAGCGAATAATTCCGCCAGCCCTTCCCCAACATGGCACCAGGGACAAGCTTACCAACTAAAAAAGACCCCTTGGCCGCCGCCCTTTCCGGGAACATGGTCGACCCACGAACCCGGAAAAGAATACAGTAACGTAAGGCATGGCAACGTTTTCAAAGACAATTGATTGGGCGACGGGCAAATGCAATGCTGAATGTATCGATCTTGATTTGCCGTGCCAAAGGCTGTGCTGTGCTGCGCCGTGCTGAATTGCGATGTGCCATGCCGCGAGTGTGCTCTATAGCGGTGTGGATCGAGTCCTCCTTTGCATCCGAGTCCTGACCGAACTGATGTTGATCGTACGCTCGAGCTGCCTGAGCACATAGTAGCTGCCCCACAGCTACCTGACAGGCGGACATGCCAGGAGGACGTGCCGCAGAACAACCCAAGGGACGCGCCAGGGGACGTGCCAAGGGACGTGCCATGGGGACGCACCGCGGGACGTGCCAAAGGGACGCGCTACGGAACATGCCAATGGACGTGCCACGGGACGTGCCAGGGGACGCGGGACGCGCTGCGCGACGTGCCAGGGGGACTCACCACGGGACGAACCACGGAACGTGCCAAGGAACGTGCCAAATTGCAATGCTGAGTGTATCGATCTTGATGTACCGTGCCAAGGGCTGTGCTGCGCTTCGCCGTGCTGAATTGCGATGTGCCATGCCGCGATTGTGCTCCATAGCGTTGTAGATCGGGTCCTCCTCTGCATCCGAGTCCTGACCGAAATGGTCTTGATCTTTAGCTCGAGCTGCCTGAGCACAAAGCAGCTGCCTCAGAGCCAATCGACAAAGGGACATGCCAGGGGGACGCGCCGTGGAACGTCCCAGGGGACGCGCCAAGCGACGGACGTGCCAGAGGGACGCGCTACGGAACGTGCCAATGGACCACGGGACGCGACAGGGGACGCGCCGCGCGACGTGCCAGGGGGACTCACCACGGAACGTGCCGACGGAACGCACCAAGGGACGAGCCGGGGAACGCGTCAAGGAACGTGCCACGGGACGCTCCCGACCCAGGGCCAGGATCCATCGTAAATTACGCTGCCTCCATGCTGCCAGGGCCACGATCCCCCGAGAATTACCTTGCGTCCGCTCTCCCTGTGCCACGATCCAACGTAAACTACGCTGCGTCCACGCTCCCTGGGCCACGATCCATCGTAAACTGCGCTGCGTCCGCGCTCCCAGAGCCACGTTCCCCACAGAATCACGTTGTGTCCGCCCCCCAGGGCAAGGATCCCTTGTAAATTACGCTGCGTCCGCGCTCCCGGGGCCACGACCCATCGTAAAATACGCGGCGTCCGCGCTCCCTGGGCCACGATCCATAATCAACTACGCTGCGTCCGCGCTACCAGGGCCGCGCTTCCTTGTGAATTACGCTGTGTCCGCGCTCCCAGGGCCACGTTCCCTAGTAAATTACACGGTGTCCGCCCCCCCAGGTCCACAATCCTTAGTAAATTAGCTGCGCCCGCGCACCCAAGGCCACAATCTATTGTAAATTATCTGCGTCCGCGCTCCCAAGGCCACGATCCACTGTTAATTATGCTGCGTCCGCGCTCCTAGGGCAACGATCCATACACTACGCTGTCTCCGCTCTCCCTGGGCCGCGGTCCCTTGTAAACTACGCTGCGTCCCCGTTCCCAGGGCCGCGCTCCCTCGTGAATTACGCTGTGTCCGCGCTCCCACGCCCACGTTCCCTGGTAAATTACGCGGTGTCCGCCCCCACAGGGCCACAGTCTTTCGTGAATTAGCTGCGTCCGCGCTCCCAAGGCCACGATCCACTGTAAATTACGCTGCGTCTGCGCTTCCAGGGACGCTGCGTCCGCGCTCCCAGGGCTACGTTCCTGAGTAGATTGCGCTATGTTCGGACTCCCAGAACCACCTGGGCATCCTGGGGCGCCCATGCCGCTCGAGTTCTGCAACACAAGCGTTTCGCTCGAGACATTCTCGAATCGTCTCGTTCGAGACATCCTCAAGACCTTGGCTCGTGAAAACAAGCATTTCACGTGAGGCATCCTCTGAATTCCAGCCCCCAGGAGAGAAATGATTTATAACACAAAACAAACGTTTCGCCTGAGACATCATCAGCACATTCTGCAAACCAAGCGTTTCGCTAGGGACATCCTCAAACATGATGGACCCACGGATTTGGAACGGATTATATACACGTAAGGCATGGCAACGTTTCCAAGACACTTGATTGGACAACGGGCGATTGCATAGCTGAGTGTGTCGATCTTGAAGTACCGTGCGAAGGGCTGTGCCGTGCTGCGACGTGCTGAACTGCGATGTGCCATGCCGCGATTGTGCTCTATAGCGTTGTGGATCGAGTCTCCCATTTGCATCCGAATTGATCTGGATCTTCAGCTCGAGCTGTCTGGGCACATAGTAGGGCTAATTGGCAGGGGGACGCGCCAGGGGGGAAGCGCCGCGGAACGTCCCAAGGGACGTGCCAAGGGACGTGCCATGGGGACGCACCGCGGGACGTGCCAATGGGACGCGCTACGGAACGTGCCATTGGACGTGCCACGGGACGTGTTAAAAGGACGCGCCGCGCGACGTGCCAGGGAGACTCGCCACGGGACGCGCCACGGAACGTGCCAAGTTACAAACTGAATGTATCGATCTTGATGTACCGTACCGTGCCAAAAGCTGTGCTGTGCTGCGCCGTGCTAAATTGCGATGTGCCATGCCGCGATTGTGCTCTATAGCGTTGTGGGTCGAGTCCTCCTTTGCATCCGAGTCCTGACCGAACTGATCTTGATCTTAAGATCGAGCTGTCTGAACACATAGTAGCCGCCCCAGAACTAATTGACAGGGGCGCATGCCAGGGGTGTGCGCCGCGAAACGTCCCAAGGGACGCGCCAAAGGATGTGCCAAAGGACGTGCCATGGGGACGCACCACGGGACGTGCTAAGGGGACGCGCTACGGAACGTGCCAATGGACATGCCACGGGACGTGCCAAAGGACGCGCCGCGCGACGTGCCAGGGAGACTCGCCACGGGACGCGCCACGGAACGTGCCACGGAACGCACCAGGTTGCAATGCTGAATGTATCGATCATGATGTACAGTGCCGAAAGCTGTGCTGTGCTGCGCCGTGCTGAATTGCGATGTATCATGCCGCGATTGTGCTCTATAGCGTTGTGGATCGGGTCTCCTTTTTGCATCCGAGTCCTGACCGAACTGATCTGCATCTGCTCGAGCTGCCTGAGCACATAGTAGCTGCCCCACAGCTACCCGACAGGCGGACATGCCAGGAGGACGCGCCGCGGAACGTCCCAAGGCACGCGCCAAGGGACGTGCCAGGGGACGTGCCATGGGGAGGCACCGCGGGACGTGCCAAGGGGACGCGCTACGGAATGTGCCACTGGACGTGTCTCAGGACGTGTTAAGGGGACTCGCTGCGAAACGTGCTGGGGACAAGCGTCTCGCTCGAGACATCCTGCCGAAATCCTCATGCTAGACATCCGCCTGGGCGACCTGGACACTTGAAAACAAGCGTTTCGCTCAACGCATCCTCAACACCTCCTCATGCTAGACATCCGCCTGGGCGACCTGGACACGTGAAAGCAAACGTCTCGCTCGACACATCCTCAACACATCCTCATGCTAGACATCCGCCTGGGCGACATGGACACGTGAACACAAGCGGCTCTCTCTCTCTCTCGACACATCC